GGGTGTGGGTGTGTGTGGAATCATAATAACTTCCTCTCTCTGATGAAAACAAATTCACTGGGTTTTAACACTGCTTCACAGGTGGTCAGTGCTAACCTTCAAAATGAAAGGTGGTGTTTCTCTTTTTTTATTTTCAGGGGATAATGACACTTTTTTTATATGGAAAGACAAAATTGTGCCTTTCAGTAATCTCCCTTTTTCATTGGTTGTTTCAGTTAAATTTAAGCTTGATTTAATAGGCGCTGAAACTGCTCCCTGGAAAGTCAATGAATTCTGGTTTCTTTAGGGTTGTTAAGTTCCGTTAAATTTTAACTGCCAGCTTCCAGAACTTAAAAAAGCCTTTGGTTATTTTATAAAGGCAAAATGATCAGTTTTGGCCCAATATTTTCGTAACAGAGGTACTGGATAGACGAGATGTTTAAAGTCCACTGAAATGTGTCTTCCATTGTTGTGACAGCAGGCTAGCTGTATTAACAAAATACTGCTGGGTTTTTGCATTTCCTTTGAATGTGAATTTTTAATGCATACCTGACAACATAACTACAATAAAACAATGAGAGATTAACATTTTGCTGCGATTATTTGTAGACAGTAGCATCTGTTCGAGAAGTATCATTAAAGGAAACCAACTTTATTAGTTAAGAAGAGGATTAAACTCATTATGACTGAAACAAAATTATTAAACAAATCAGAAATATGAAAGCCCCACCCTGAAGTTTACAGATTCAATTAAGATTTAAGCTTAACATTTAAGCGTATTTGACATGCTAAAAATAACATTATCATGGCTAATGGTGTATCGATTGTCATGTCTTTGGCATCTGCCTGTAGAGTCATGGCCACAGCCATTACCCTGCTGCAGACCATTACTCAACAGCCAACAGGGGTGCAGAAGAGGGGGAGAAAGAGAAGCTACAACAGAACGGAGAAGCTAACAGTCTGGCCCAGGGAAAGGTGGATGAAGGGGAGGGCGAGCTCATGCTCAGCCCTGCACAGACACCACAGGTAAGGTGTAGCAGAATTAACAGAAAATGGTCAGGTCCTTGGATATAATGGTTCAAATTAATTTACTAGCATGAAGTTGTGACCTGTGATGTTTTGCTAAATTATCAATCACACAGAAACGATCATACGCGAACAACTCCCGATCTATTTTCACATGTTTTGTCAGGACTCCCAGAGCCCAGACAGTGGGGGGCACACTGCCAGCCATGGAGGCGGCTGCTATTGGCTGAAAGGAACAACCTACTCTGACATCGGCACTCTGGCCTGGATGATCACTCTGAGTGATGGTCTGCACAACTTCATTGATGGCTTAGCTATTGGTGCTTCCTTCACTGCCTCGGTTTTCCAGGGTATCAGCACCTCTGTGGCCATCCTTTGTGAGGAGTTCCCTCATGAACTGGGTGAGTTGGGATAGAAATTTCATAGGCATAAATAGTTTATATTTTGTATGTAATTGAATACAAAATTTGCTTTTCTTAACCACAATTCTTGTAGAAATAACAGTCACCATACATTGTCAGCAATGCTGTTTTTAGGTTCTAAAGTGCGATTTTTGCCACCAGGTGACTTTGTAATTCTACTGAATGCTGGCATGAGCATACAGCAGGCTCTGTTCTTTAACTTCCTGTCAGCCTGTTGCTGCTACCTGGGAATGGGATTCGGCATCCTGGCTGGCAACAGCTTCTCCCCAAACTGGATTTTTGCCTTGGCAGGCGGAATGTTCCTATACATTGCTCTTGCAGACATGGTCAGTGTTCTATTGGTGTGAGATGGATATACTTTGATAGAGTCTATGTCTTTAAGAGATTATTACAGAAAAATAAAGTCACAGAACTGCTGTGTGTAAATACTGTGTGTGTACTGTTTAGGACAGTTTGTATACAGTACACAATAACTAAAACTTTTGTCAAAATATTATGTAAAGTATTGATAGTTTAAAGTTTAAAGTATTAATATTTTTTTCTAAATGTGTATGACATTCATCTAAAATTCAGAAGGCATTTAAATACTGAGTTAGATCCATAATCATTTAATATTTTATGACTTTAAATGAGAGCTGGGTTCCATTAACTCCTTATGGGCCTCTAAACTGTTAATGTTGCTGGGATTACACCTTTTAAAAAGAAAAGTTTTTATTACATTCTTATATTTTAAAGGGAATACGCTTCAGATCAGGCATTCATGTGTAGCAACGTATACTTATGATGTTACATGGCCTACACAGTGCACTGCAGGTTTTAAAAGTATTATCTCTGTTTTCCATGTCCCAGTTTCCAGAGATGAATGAGGTGAGCCGTGAAGAGGAGGACGCTGGTGGTAGCAGGTTCCTCATCACCTTCGCAATCCAGAACGCTGGTCTCCTTACAGGCTTCTCCATCATGCTTCTCCTCACCACATATTCAGGGCAGATACAGCTGGGGTAGCACCAGACCCCCCTGATCCAGTGCCAACTCTGACAACAATGAATTAAAGCTGGATTGTTCTGTAGAGAAATAGTCCAAGTTGAGAAAGGGTAGCTTAGACTTTTTCTCTTTGCCTTCATGGAGTTTGGGGGAGGGGGTTGTTGTGCGGCAGGTACGCACAAGCTTCTGTTGGAAATATTTTAGTATCTGCCCTTTTGCTTTTCTTAGATGCAGTCAGTATGAGGCAGATGGGATCTTAGCCTTCTTACCTCATACTTTTCTCACCGCTGCGCACCATTCATGTCTAAAAAAGTCAGCATTGATGAGTTGACTTCCTCTGCTGAGAGTTTGACTAGTGCAATATTCAGCTCATTGCTGAGGAACTTCTCCGTGCTTCAAACATTCTGATCAGCAGTTTTGGTTTCTTTTTTTTTTTTCTTCTTTTACCTTTATTTGTGCTTCTCACTGTAAATGTTTGTGAATCTCAGCCAGGGTCTTTTAAGACTCAACACATGCAGTGTATTTCTGTCAGGTGTTCTCTATGAAAGCACAATCAGGTAATGCAATCTTTGAGTCCTTATTTTTCTTTTACAGACTTCCCATTCCAGACCAAAAAACAAATATCTAAGGAAATCAACTTTAGGAGTTCTTAACAAACTGACTTACTGTTGGTCTTTGTTGTCTGTGTGATGATTTGATATTATTTTAACTCATGGGGAAAAAATATGAGAAAGTTATTCATGAAGACCAAATATGGCCGAACCATTCAGAATACAGAAGGGCTACACAGTGACATTTCGGAGAGGAACACTTCATCCTCCTTGATATGGACTAATCCGCATCCGCAGTTAGAAGCTCTTCAAGAATCCTTGTTGGACATGTTAAATGTGTGAGTTTTATTGTAGTGGATTGAAGTATAACAACATGCAGCCCACACAGCAACACTTAACCATGTGTGCCCTTCATTATTATTGCAATGAATAGTTCTAGTTTTCACCTTGTTTTCTTTCCTGTCTTTTTTTGCTGAAAGTGAAAATATGTGGTCATTTGCTCCTCTAGAATGGTTTATCTATTTACATCCTAGTAGAAATTTTAAATAAATACTGTAAGGTGAATTGTAGTGACACATTATTTTACCAGCTGTTCTGTGATCCTTGTTTATCAGTCAATAGTGAGCTGAACATTTAGGTAATATCCTCTATCCTGTTATTTAGGTTGTAATGACAAAAATCTGATTTTCTTAAAGTTTCATTATATGGCCAAAGCTGTGTGGAATTACTGGAGTTTCTTTATAAACATATCAGTTTATTGTACACTGGATTAACTTTAATGGCTGTTTAGAGGGACTTTAATCTAAGACAAACCAGGACAGATGGACCAGACGGTATGTGATGGGATTTTTAAAAAAGGGTTTCGAAAATGTTCCAAGAAAAGGTTGTAAGATTTTTTTATATTTTATAATGTGACCAGTTTCAACTTTGACAAACTGTATTTTTAGTATTGAAACTGCCACATGCTGCATAGGAACATCGCCTTATGCACAGCTGTCTATGAAGTAGTTTAAGATAGGCAGCTCGCTTTTGTTTAAATCCCACAACTGGATCTAACAATTTTTTCAGAATTCAACAGAGCTTAAGTAAATCAACAGATGCCTCATACTGTCCTTAGAAAAAAACTGAGTGTAGTTAGTCGTAGAATATTTATTGTAGGTAGACACTTAACCCATATTGCAATTTGGAAATGTTCATTTCTGTGTGCTTTGATGGTGACAGCAAGCCATTGCAAAGGTGTACCATATTTTACTGCTGCTTCATATTCACAATGTATTGGGTATTTATTGTTTTAAAGCCATGAAATATTTATTTTAAGCTTTACAGTCAAAGCCATGAAAACAAACAAAATTTAGTCTTGTAGAAGGAATCAGTGGAACAACTGACAGTAGATTCTAAAACAAAATTGCATTACACATTGTGACTCTTGTATGTATTGATGCCAGATAATGACCAAACACACACACACACTCACACACAAAACATATCCAGTCCCTTAAGATTCCAAATGGAGAAAAAATTCAGTAGTACACAGGCAATAGAAGATGGATTGTAGCGTTTCCTGCTACAGCCAACAAACAATTAACCACCCGAGGGCAGATTTTCCACAGGTTTTAATGATTCTATCAATCTCTCATACATTGATATGGATTATTCATAAAGGTATTGTACCTTATGTTTAACCTTCTGTATGTTGTGAATACCTTTTTATAAACATTCTTTTTCAAGAAAATCATTTGCATCATCATTGAGTGGTGTTTTTCTGGTCTGACATTTCCTAAGTTTATAGGATGAGCTGAATAATGTGTTATGACTTCATCAGATTAAAAATGGAATTTTGCTTACCTGAGCGTATGCATTCACTTTACTTCAACAAGTGTGCAGTATCACATCAAAGTTGTTTAATGTTGTTTATTTAAACACACAATCTTAGAATAGTAGTGATTGTCGTCAATGGTTTGATCTAAGACTAAATAGTAGATATTACTTTTGTTTTAGATTTTTTTTATAGTTCGGCATATCTAAACAACCGACAATTTTATAGAGCCCCCCCCCCCCCCCCCCCAAAAAAAAGTACCCCAGCTTCAATTATTTTTTTTTTACATTTGTGGCTAACGATTAATAAACTATAACGATTAACCACCACTGGGTTCATTTTTATATTTGTAGTATGAAGACTAAATAGCATCTTTATCAGCATTCACGTCGACTGTTTCCACTAGGTGGCGATAAAGGCGTTAAGTTACACGGCGTAATACTAAGGAAAAACAATCTATGTCATTTCCTGTTCAGAGCAGATGGTTAGAAGACGTACGGAAACAGAAACCCATTAAAACTACCGACTTTGATGGAATGGCTTGACGAAACTACAGATTGTCATATTAAGCCGTAAGCATATTTCTTGCTGTTGTTTGGCGCACATTTATTTCTGATGAGTCATGGGTGGACGGTTATTAAGGTTCCAGTTGGTTAGCCCAGTTTACGTAGTCATTCATTGCGCTGTTGAACTTGGTAGCTAACGAGTTATCTAAAACGAATACGTAGTTAGCAACTTTGTCAGAACTCTGCCAGTTCGATATATGTCACATGTCTTAGTGGATTTTAAACCTCACTTTTACTGGTCAATACTTTATTATGCATGGGTTGATACATATGCCGGCTAACGTGAACATAACTTGCTATTTTACAAGACTAGGATTAAGAATGCAAAAAAGAGAGAAATCCAACCTTTTATTTAATTACATTACTTTCGTGGTGAAAAAAAAGACACATTTAGAAAATCAAAAACGTGAAATCACGTGTCCCACAATTGCTGGCACCCCTAACAGTTATGCTGAAACATGTAATTGATTTCCTTAAAATATATTTTTCTGTAGTTGCTAAAGTTGGTCAGGGTCTCTAGGAACTTTTAATTAGTCATTCATGACTTCCTGTTTTCCCTGGGGTATAAATATGATGTGACACAGGCCCAATTCTCTCACCATTTGACAACATGGCAAAGACAAGATAACACACCATTCAAGTAAGGCAGATGTGTGCTGACCTTCATAAGTCAGGCAATGGCTACAAGAAAATGAAAGAAAACATTCAGAGGAATCATTAAGAAGTTTAAAACAACTGGAACAGTGACAAACAAGGCTGGAAGATTTCCCAAGTTTATCTTGCCACAACGTACAGTGAGGAGGATGGTAAGAGAAGTAAAAACAAGTCCTAAGCTCACTGTCAGAATTGCATCAAAGAGGGGAATCTTGGGGTCACAAAGTCTCCAAAATAACGATCAGACGCTCTCTACATGCCAACGAGCTGTTTGGGAGGCATGCAGGGAAAAAGCCTTTATCTCACTGAAACTCACAAACGTAAACGTCTGGAGTTTGCTAAGCAGCACTGGGACTTCAACTGGGATCCGGTGCTTTTGTCAGATGAGACTAAGATGGACCTTTTTGGCAACAAACACTCTTTAAGTGGGTCTTGCGTAAAACAAGTATTGAGTATTGAGTATTCCGAAAAGCACCCCATGCCCCCCGTGAAGTATGGTGGAGGATCTGTGATGCTGTGGGCTTGTTTTGTCTTCCAAAGGCCCTGGAAACCTTGATATTGTGCATGGCATTATGAACACTTTGAAATACCAGGACATTTTAAAGAAAAACCTGATGGCCTCTGCCAGAAAGCCGAAGATAGGTCATCATTGGGTCTATTAGCAGGATAAAGATCCAAAACATCTACACAAAAATGGTTCACAAACTCAAGGTCCTCCCATGGCCATCTCAGTCCCCAGAGCTTAACCCAATTGAAAACCGGTGGTGCAAACTAAAGAGGAGAGTGCTTTAGAGAGGACCCAGGACACTGGATGATCTAGAAAGATTGCACAAAGAAAATTTGTCAAAGATCCCTCTCTCTGTGTTTTCCAATCTTGTGAAATGTTATAGAAGAAGATTACGTGCTGTCTTATTGGCAAAAGGGGGTTGTACGAAGTATTAATATCAGGGGTACCAATAATGGTTTGACACATTATTTCACGTTTTTTATTTTCTTAATGTGAAATTTTATTTTTACCACGAAAGTAATGTACTTAAAGAAAAGGTTGGATTTTTCTCTTTTTTTGCATTTGGGTTCTATGTTGTTGGGTTTTTTTTAAAAGAGAATTTTTAGAAGTCCTCAACCACATCATAAACAGGGGTGCCAATAGTTGCGGAAGGCACTGTAGCTTGAGTGCATTCACTGTCTAATGATGATGTTAAACTAAACGACATATGTATTGAAAAAAAACAGTATAATGCATTATAATGCATTGTTTTCACTGTAGCAAAACTTCTTTGGTGTTAAACTCCACAGATTTAATACCTTCCTCCAGCATAATTTGTCATACCTATTTAGTTAACCTTGCCTACTGTATTATAGATTAAATTCTGAAGATTAAATAAATTGAAATGTGTTTAGATTTGGTCACCAGAATATCAGAACTTGATTGTACCTCTGTGATCCTGAAACCTTAGGTTCAACATATCTAACTCAACCATTAATGATCCTACATAGTGCATCAATCGGTTTAGATCCATACAGGTTTGTGCATATGACTTGACTCCAAACAGTTTTCATACATTGACATAAAGCCCTTTTTAGGCTGTTTATTAAAAAATGTTTAGTTCTTTAACCTCCATAAATGGAAAGAAACAAAAAGAAATACTAATAAATCTTCGCTTTTACCATTTTTTTTGTGTGCTATTGCTCATTAGGTAAACTAGTGAGGGAGCAGCCATGGCCTGTGCTCAAGTGCCACTGGATGAGCAGCTGGTGACTGAGACTGACCCACAGGGAAGGGAGCGCACGCTGCCGGCACTGGTGAGTCAGCTTCTGCAGCAGTTTTTGATGTTCCAGGTGAAACGTGACCTACCTACTAGGGATGGGACGGTTTCTGAAAACCGTCTGAACCGTTCGGTTCGACTGTCTCGGTTCGGTTCGCGTGTGTACCGCACGGTTCATGCACTGCTCCTTTTTCTCAGAGGGAAGCGTGTTCACTCCAGAGCAGAAGGGGGCGCTACTGCACCCAAAGTCAACCACCAGTAGTAAACAAGAAGAAGAAGAGAAGCAGCGTAGCCGATAAAAATCCGACGCGCCAACAGCAGTTTCTAGGTCTGCTGTATGGACCACTTTGCATTTAGAGGGAAGCACATGTTGGAATTAGCACTGTTTCCTCTCTTGCAATGCCAGAATCTCACCTACTTTTAACCTAAGACTGTCACAATAATGGATCAAATGTCAGACTGCTTTTTTCTTTCAGTTTTTACTAGGGATGGGGATCGAAACCCGGTTCTATCAAGGACCTGGTTCCACTTTTTTCAAAACCCAAAAATCAATAACGTTTGGGCTTATCGATACCACTATCGAGTCTGGTCGTTTTTTTTTTATTACAATAGTAATTGTGAAATCTGTGTTGTAATCGGCAGCGTACAAGCTAGTTAGCTTGAAAAGTAAATAAAGTTTCAGACGTGCTGCGTGATGATGTGTTCAGATTGGCTCAGTAAAACGACAATTAGGTTATCATGATGCGTTCAAGTGTAACGTAAAGAAAAGGGAAATTGAGTTTTTGGCGAGAAACATGAGTAATACAGTTGTATATTGCTCTAATTATTTTTAGAATATATAATTAAACTACTGATGCCAACATTTATTAAAAATTACATTTAATTTAAAATACAATTATTTATTTGTTAAATATTGTTGCATCGTCTTTCCACCAAATAACAGAAAATTATCGATAGTGGTATCGATAAAGACTCGGATCGATAAGGAGTATCGATAAAAGTATTGATATCAATAAATATTAACGATCCCCATTCCTAGTTTTAACCTGACTATACAAGACATAATAGATTTTCCTAACGATCACCATATACCGAACCGAACCGAAAACCGTGACCACGAAACCGTGAAACGAACCGAACCGTGGATTTTGTGAACCGTCCCACCCCTACTACCTACCTCCACAAAGTATAGTTTGTTTTAGTCATTTCTGGGCTTCCTTTTTCATCCCCCCCAGCACCCAGACAGGAAGGAGGAGCGCTTTTTTGTGTCTTATAAACCTCCCCCAGAAGGTGGCTCTCCCGCAGAAGTGGAGGAGTTTTTGGAACATGCCAAATTCATCTCTGAGGATCTGGAGTGGCTGCTGGCACTGCCCCATGATAAGTTCTGGTGCCAGGTAGGGGAAATCGACAGGTGGCCTGATGATGCAGGCAGTGAAAGGCAAAGCAAAGTCTGTACCAAATGTATTGCCCCTCCCCACTTTGTTTTCCACCAGATAGTGTTTGACGAGTCACTGCAGAGATGTTTAGACTCATACCTTCATCACGCTCCTCGTAGCCTTGACCTCCCCGCCGTTCCTCCCTCCCCGGCGGTTGCTGACGTACAGCGTGCTATCCACAGGGCCGTCTTCTTGACCTTCCTTAGGATGGCCACGCATAAAGAATCCAAGGTAAAAAAAACCTAGGGATTCATCTACATTTATTCTACGTTTGTTCATGTAATGCAAAGTATACTCCAATATTATACTACAAAGTAGAAAGCAATGAATCCTTCGTCTTTCTCCAGGAAAACTTCTTCACCCCAGCTGTGTTTGGAGAAATTATCTACGACAATTTTCTTTTTGACATTCCCAAAATTCTAGATCTCTGTGTGCTCTTTGGAAAGGGCAACAGCCAGCTGCTGAACAAAATGATAAGTGAGTTACTTACTTAGGTGGTCATTCAATGTTAGTTAGTTTTTAGCCACTGGTGACTTTTGTAATTTTGTCTGTTCAGAGAACATTTTCACTCAGCAGCCATCCTACTACAATGACCTGGTTGAGACCGTGCCTACTGTTTTACAGGCAATAATTTTCAATCCTTATATTTCTGTCTTTTTATGTTCTTCTGTATAGAAAGTTTGCTCCTTTTTTAAGGTATAATGTATTTTGTTTCCCCATCAATATCAGATTTTTGACACAGTCCTGGACAAGTGTGGCCTACAGTGTGAAGGAGCCACTGCCATGGAGCCAATGAAGCTTAATGCTAACAAAAGACCCACTGTTATGACCATGGGCCAGCAGGTTAGTCAGGCACAACTTCTTTCACACCCATAGGGCTCATTGGTTGTCCCATCTGACATAGAGTATAAACATAAAATGTATTTTTACCCTGCATTTGATGAATAAACCTTTTTTAACATCTTTGCAATGTAAACACGTAGCAGTTCAAATACATTATATTTATTGTGAGTTTCCAGATGATAGATACTATTTGCTAATGCTATTTTCTCTGCCTAGAACAACAAGACAAGCTACAAGAAATGTTTTGTAATCATGTAAATTGAACTGAAAACCAAATTATTAGAATCAGAAAATATCTACTTCCACCAAGGTTAGCTTTTAATTGGTTTGGTCAGCTGTTAAGGCATATGAATACAAACAGTATATTCACATCACTTAAAATAATTTACTTTAATACAGATGAAAAGATACTGGACTGTCTTGGTGGTGTACGGTCTGCTAAACAACAAACCATTGTTTACTGAATGACAAGCCTTTTAAAGAGTATTCAAGTAGATGGGAGCGGTACCCTTCAGTTATTAGGCTAACATCAGTGACTTGAAATTGATGCAGGCATCCAAGGGTTGCCAGAAAATTTCAATGAATGGAGGGGTGGTATGGGAATTTTTGGACTGACTGAAGTAAGACTCAAACCAGGAGTGTGCTCTCCCCTGGATACCATGCCTGATAGTATAGACAGAAGGAGGATGTGATAGACTGTATCAAATGCAGCTGATAAGTCAAGAAGGATAAATACTGAGGACTTGGCGGTTCTGGCCTCTTTTTCATCCGAGTGGCCACTTTTATACCCAGATTTGTTTGTATGAAGGAGTTTTTGTGACCCACTAATTGTCAGGGTGGCAATTTGCAGAATAACACAATTATTAAGAATATACATGCAGTACATTAATACAATTTAGTCCATTAAGATCAATCGGCAGACTTGCTGTAACGTTCACTCTGTAGGCTTTGGATTATAGTTTGCTCATACTGTTAGAAATACACAGCCTCACATTCACTGTTGTTTCTTTTTCTAAAGTTTTAGCTGTATTTCACTTCCTAAATATTGTCGGTGTGTAATGATGATGTTAACACCAAAAACCTCAATATCTAATGGGTTTAGTTTAAATCGAATAACTTTTTGGCATTATGTTATGTCATTAATGACTCAATGACACGAGTTTGAAAAAAAAATTCTTTTTAGGAACTAGTAGATATCATTTTGTACTTGTGTGACTCGACCACCACCATACAAGCCTTCCTGGACATCTTCCCTGCAGCCTGCTCCAGCTTCCAATCCCATGCCTTCCTAAGCAGGTAGGACGATGAGGAACTCAGGTGGCATCATCCCTCAGTTGGGAATTATTTAATAATCATTATGCTTTCTCTGTTGGTAGATTAACCTCATTTTATGAGACTGTGGTGACGGACCTGGAGAACGCTGTTCGGAAGAGAAACTTTGATGATAAAAGGTGAGGATGTGCTAAAGATTTGAGACCGGATCGAGCAGCACCAATCGATATAAGTGTCACTGACCAAGTCTCCCACCTTTCCTGTAGTCTGCAGGAGGACTTGTGGAAAAGGCTTAGTCATTCCTGTCGTAAGATGTTAGAGTTGGCTCACCTCCTACTGCACCACACCTGCTTACAGCCAATCCTGGAACAGTGAGATGCTCAAACTCAACAAGCATTTTTTATTAGGCATCTTAACTATACTAACTTTTGTTTTCTCGTAGGAAAGAAAACGCACAGATGTTTGCGGAAGAACTACTGCAATATTTCACGTCATTTTTACCTGAGAAAAGGTCAGAATATTAACCCTAACCCTTTGGTGTAAGAAGCTTTAAGAATTGTATTCCATTTTTTAGTTTTGTTTGTGTTTCAACATAAATGAAAAATGGATTATAACTTTCTGATCAGTTTTGGCTTTAATTACACGTTATGGACTTCTTTTCCAGTCATACTTTTAGGTTGTAAGAATGAATTATCAAGAATGTCTCACTTGGATTCAACTTTCCTTTCAGGTTCTTGGTAGACTATGATGAACAGTTTCCCATTGCAGATGACATCAGCCTTCTACAGCAAGCCCTGCCAGTCATGTATCTTTGTCCACTTTACAGAAAAATATTTTTAAAGATAACATACTGGAAAAAGTTAAAAATGTTGGCACATTTTATGAACAATTATAGGATGTGCAAACATGTGATATACAGGGATTGGACAATGAAACTGAAACACCTGGTTTTGGACCACAATACTTCATTAGTATGGTGTAGGGCCTCCTTTTGCGGCCAATACAGCCTTAATTTGTCTTGGGAATGACATATACAAGTCCTGCACAGTGCTCAGAGGGATTTTAAGCCATTTTTCTTGCAGGATAGTGGCCAGGTCACGACGTGATGCTGGTGGAGGAAAATGTTTCCTGACTCGCTCCTCCAAACCCCCCCAAAGTGGCTCAATAATATTGAGATCTGGTGACTGTGCAGGCCATGGGAGATGTTCAACTTTACTTTCATGTTCATCAAACCAATCTTTCACCAGTTTTGCTGTGTGTATTGGTGCATTGTCATCCTGGTACACGGGACCTCCTTCAGGATACAATGTTTGAACCATTGGATGCACATGGTCCTCCAGAATGGTTTGGCAGTCCTTGGCAGTGACGCGCCCATCTAGCACAAGTATGGGGCCAAGGGAATGCCATGATATGGCAGCCCAAACCATCACTGATCCACCCCCATGCTTCACTCTGGGCAAGCAACAGTCTGGGTGGTACACTTCTTTGGGGCTTCTCCACACCGTAACTCTCCCGGATGTGGGGAAAACAGTAAAGGCGGACTCATCAGAGAACAATACATGTTTCACATTGTCCACATCCCAAGATTTGAACTCCTTGCACCATTGAAACCGACGTTTGGCATTGGCATGAGTGACCAAAGGTTTGGCTATAGCAGCCCGGCCGTGTATACTGACCCTGTGGAGCTCCCGACGGACAGTTTTGGATGAAACAGGAGAGTTGAGGTGCACATTTAATTCTGCCGTGATTTGGGCAGCCGTGGTTTTATGTTTTTTGGATACAATCTGCGTTAGCACCCGAACATCCCTTTCCGACAGCTTCCTCTTGCGTCCACCGTTAATCCTGTTGGATGTGGTTCGTCCTTCTTGGTGGTACGCTGACATTACCCAGGATACCGTGGCTCTTGATACATCACACAGACTTGCTGTCTTGGTCACAGATGCACCAGCAAGACATGCACCAACAATTGGTCCTCTTTTGAACTCTGGTATGTAACCCATAATGCTGTGTGCATTGCAATATTTTGAGCAAAACTGTGCCTTACCATGCTAATTGGACCTTCACAGTCTGCTCTTATTGGTTCAATGTGCAATTAATGAAGATTGGCCACCAGGCTGGTCCAATTTAGCCATGAAACCTCCCACACTAAAATGAGAGGTGTTTCAGTTTCATTGTCCAACCCCTGTACCTTCACAGTTTAACATGAATACTTTATCAAATGATGAGCTATGTGTCACTTTTTAAAATGGGTTTTTCACTAGGTGGTTTAAGAATAAAAATGTCAAGACCAATTAAAAAAAAATATTATGACAGATGATCATAGGGAAAGAGTAGAAATGGATTTTTTTTAAAAGTTGAAATAGTCAAGAACTAGTTCCTTCCTGAACTGCTTTCTTCCCCTCAGTGATGAAACAAGGACGTCCTTCTTGCTCCAGGGCGTGGAAAGCACACGGGACAATGTGGGCCGCCGAAAACCACATAGCCATACCAACAGTACAGCCTTGTCATCATTTTCTGACCAGCAGGAAGCAGTGGGCGGGGCGGCCGCCTCCTCTGGTGGCTCTCAACCTCAGGAGGTCTGCAAAGGAGGAAGAGAGGACCCTCAGGGTGCAGTGGCAATGCTGGATGATTCCCTAAAAGGAAATAATGTGAGCTTTTTTGTAAATACTTTTGTCTCTAATTAAATGTGCCATTCAGGGACGGCTCTCGGACAGCATCGTTTTCACAGATGTTGTCATCTCTGCTTTTAACTCTCGAAACTTTAGAAAACTCTGATTTCGGTTGCATCACAGTTCTATGTAGGCTGCCAAATGTTATATGAGTGCATCTGCAGAATGTTCTACTGAGAGATTACAGGAGGAAATTGGCAGAAATATGCATTAGTCAAAACTTACTGCACGTTTGGTTAAAAAAAATAACACATATCTTTGCATATATTTATTTATATTAGGGTGAAACAGGGTGAAAATGTATTCCAATAAAGTGTCATTTTAATCTAAATTATGTTTTTGTAACCATTGGCAGAGATGTTGTATTTTGGTTGTTTTTAAAAAATAAGAAAAAAAGGAAAGAAAGAAAAAAGAATGCTCTTTCCACAGTAATTTAAGTTTGGACAGGAATAACATCAGTCATCTTGGAAAGAAGGCTTGGCTAAGCATCGGTTTGAGAGCTCACTCACTTTTGGTGTGGCTGTTTTGTTTTCAGGGTGCAGTATGTCAGGTGAGCGCAGCAGAACTGGACTCCCTCCTGTCCTGCATCAGGGACTTGCTGCCAGATTTAGGGGAAGGCTTCCTGCTGGCGTGCCTTCAAGAGTACAACTACAACTCTGAGCTGGTCATCAACAACATCCTAGAGGACCGGTTAGCCCCCAGCCTTGATAAACTGGACCGAGCCATGCCAAGGTGACAGCATACACATGCGTGTTCTGTTTTCTTATTAGTAAGAAAGATAATGTGAGAAAAGCAATATCCTACAATTCTGTAAACTATGTATGAATATAATGAAAACCAAACCACCCAGATGTTTTACTTTCTTCTAACTGCTGGGTACTTCCTAGATCATTATTTTCCAGTCCATAAAGCAAAGGCCTCATCACCATGACTCCCTTCTATTAAACTTTTTTCCATTTAGTCCAAAGTAATCTAACTTCTGTATATCCATCCATCCATTTTTGCTTATACCCAACAGGGTTACGGGGGGGGGGGGCATTTCCAAAGGCAGGGCACTTCTGTATATATTTATGCAAATGTTTTTGTGTTTTTTTCTGAGACATTTTTTGTGCATTTACAGGCCAGTGAAGGCGGAGCTTCCAACTGTTCTGAATAACAGGTCCAACATCTTTGATGATGACGACTTTGACATCTTCCGAAGGGACCAGGTGGACATGTCCCGCATCTGGAAGGGAAGGAGGTACAGACCCCAGAGTACAAATGTTTCATAAGAAAAAGTGAAAGTGAAGTGAAAAAGTTGAGACATTGTGTCACATCTAATTATGTCTCTGTTCATTTGACCCTGCAGGAAAGGACAGAGTACTCGAGAGTTGCTTGAGGATAAGCAGCACATAGAGGAACAAAGAGCTCGTTATCGAACCTACGAAACGGTGGTAGATGAAGTCGTCGTGGAACCAGGAGAATCCACCACTGCCTACAGTCTGGATGACTATGACGACGAGTACGACGACACATACGACATAAACCAAGTGGGAGCTAATGACTTGGATGGAGATAGTTTACTTAATAGAAGGTACACTTTTAAATCAGTACAACATAAAAATAATTATCCATGGAGTCCAGATCAAGTGGAGCAGAATCTGAATGAGCTTTGTTTTGTTTTCTTGCAGACCTTTCACAGTCCCACAGGTACTTAGAAAAGGAACTAAAGCAGAGGAGGATGAAGATGAGGATGAGGATGATGAAATGGAGAACGCATTGCAGGTACAACAAGCACTCGATTCAGTTGCGAGTATTTAAAGATGAGTAATAAATTCTGACCCGGCTAGTTTTATCAGTCCATCTGTTGGGATATTTACACAACCAGACTAAGTCAATATTCAAATGTGAATTCAAAATACAAGGCTTTTGTGCTATGTAAAACATATGCAAATGTAGAGAGCTGTTTTTACATTTATACTATAGTTATAGATTGATTTATTGTCCGGTTATTTACTCAGAAACTTTCTTTTTTGCTGGAACTGTTACAGAAGAATCCAAACAGGGACAACTTTGTCCAGGATCCGGCTCTGCTGAGGGAGAGGGCTGAAGCTAAAAGGGCCGCCATGCAGCAGAGGAAAGGGTACTCATGATCTCTTTCCACATTCACATTGTTTATCCAGAATTTTTCCCATGACAGATGTGTCCCATTACTTTTATTTTTGTTTCTTGCTTTTTGAAAAACTATCAATTTGTTACAGCTGGCTTATCATTTTCTTCCAGCATCCGGCAAGAGAATCCCAGTAATGTGGTGGGCCGACCCAAAGGCCAAGGACAAACCCTGGAGACATTCCTGGACCGACGCAAAAAGGAGACCAACAAGAGCCGCGCAGCCAATCACAACCGGCGCACCATGGCCGATCGCAAGAGGAACAAAGGCATGATTCCCTCCTGACCCGTCTTGACATCAAGCTGCTCCAACCAAACATCCAGATCGGTAGATGGGAGCGAGATGGCAGGAAGGGGGACTGACGTGTGTCTCAAGTTGAAAAAGGATCAGGGTTCTGGTGAGGTTCTGGTTGGATAGCGGTGACTCCTCTACATTTCAACCCTGAAATGTGGTGGCTGTGGCCACCCTTGGTGGCTAAGGAAGCCACCACAGGTATTTAGCTGTTTTTGAAAGGTTGGATTTCCTTTCCACCTGTCATTGTGTGACCTTAGGTTGCCAGGGAGGTGGATTGTTTGAAAGTTAACACTCTAATTTGGGCCACAGTCAGCTTTCCTCCCTAATGATTGTCTTCATTAGCTCATTTTTAGAAGAAAAAAAAAAGAAAAAAGGAAGATCTGTGAACCAGCAATAGACACAAACAATGACACCTCTATTTTTGCCAAGTAACAAATGTGTTTATTTATCCAGAGTGATTGAATTAATACCTGTTGACATCAACATCAACAAATAAACTACATAGGAATAAAAGGAAGTGACATTTTCAAAGTACAGTTCCCTCTTCAGCTGGAAGAACAACTACTAACGAGATGATCAAGTCTGAACATCAACAGCACTGCTCACCCTCATTGAGCACTTGATAAAGCTGTTAGCATGCACCACTGCTGTCATTGGCCTCCACAGAAACAAAAAAAGAATCTGTTCTAAGACCATCTATTATGGTAGCATCTGTGTTTGGAAGCACATGCTGGAAGGAGGGATCTTGTGTCTGATGCTTTCTGGGGAAAATTGTGATGTGTTGCCATGCACAGACAGTTTTCTAGGAATAGAACAGATCTATCAGAGCATTTTGTAACAAATAGAGAAATATGTAGTTGCTTTTTGAAGTTCACATGGCAAAAACTATTTTCAAAAAATAAAAAGGAATAAATAGTTACATGTTTTTTTGTACTCCTTGTTGGTCTTTTCCGACACAAAAAAGCCTGAAAAGCTTTGATTCTTGAATTTTAACTGGAAAAACTATAGTATCACTATACGTTTATTTTTCTTAGACAGCTTAGCTGTAAGGGAAAAGACTGAAAGCATTGGGAACAGTCAACCATCTGCTTTGCAGCAGCTCTTAAGTGCATACTTCCAGGAAAGGGATTTGCCTATTTTAGCCTTTATTCAGTGGTAGCTGGTCCACTGACTAGAATGAGGACAGTTTTGTTAGGACAAAGCCTGACAAACTATTTCAACTTAATTCGAGTCTTAATGTCCGATGTAACAGAAACAAGAGTGCCACCTTCTCATGTAGCCAAGACAGAAAACTAAAATGGAGTCGTAGTTATTGGGATAACATGTGTTGGTACAACTCAGACAAAAGAAACATAAGATTTTCTGTTTGCTGTATGGCAAAGGAACTGAATTTTGCACATCTGAGTGAGGAAAATAAATGAAGACCCTTTTATCCGTAAACTATCTGGAAATTTACAAAGCCAGCTTACATAGCGAAGCATAAATGGGGTGACACACAGCAAAGAGACATAGATCAGCACTATTATCAATAACATTTTTAAATGTTTTATTTCAACGCCTTTTAGGTTAAACAAAATTCACCAGTTTCCCATCTAAAGAAAACACAAACAGAAAACTAAAGATTAGCTACTGTAACATTAAGTTCAAAAAGTGCTTATGTGGTTTAGATTAACACATCATTTCAGTAAAATCATTAGGTTTGTTAAGGATATTCCAACGTTAACTGGTAAACACTGATTCCTTGACAACGATTACAAAGCATCTGTAACAGAATACTCAACAGCGAAGCAAACGGTTGGACACTTTACCTTCAGACAGTTCAACTGTTTGATGGTTACAGACTACGGCTGAACTGGGAGTGAACAGTTACACCGGCCTGACGATGAACGTGTCGGAGCTGAAAGTGGAAAGCACTGAATGTTTTAGAAGTTTTTATCTCATTAGCTGTCCGTCTTCACTTCTGTCGATTAGACAAACAAATACTTCAACAGTTTTAAAGTAACTGATTCCAGGTAAGTGGCTCCGCTTACATGCACATACAACATCACTGTTCTCGTAGTATTGTGTTAATACTACTACATTTTGAGAGCCATAAGAAGCACTGAGGCTAAAAACTGACAGCTGTTCAGCTGCTGTGAGATTTGCTGTTTGCTCCCACAGTCCACTGCAGGTAGGAGGAAGTACTGAGGTGAGGTCATTTTTCAAAGCAAACCAAAGAAAAGGACTACTAGAGATGAATCCTCGAGCAGGTGTTGCAGCTGCATTGAAACCAGCATTAAATGTCCCTGCAGATGCTGCCTGCAGAGGAGAAGAGAAAGATGTTTAGACATTTTGTTACCACACTTCATATTTTAGTTTTCTTTCAAAAAATAAATACCATTCAATTATGTAAATCTGAAAATATATATATTAAACAGTTAATTTCTGAGGGCTTTTCTACATAATTATGATCACTTCTGATGTGATTAAGTCACATTTATTTCCCGGCCTGTCTTAATTTCCAAAGTCCATAAATAAAATACTTGTGTACACTAAATGCCCTGTGTTAAACAGGTCACGCCTACTATGACCATTTTAGACTTCTTGCTAATTGTAATAGGTGTGGTTGATTTACTCAATTGGGATCACCACACACCCCTTTTTAAATGGAAGGACTTAGAAATTAATAAACAGAGAAAATGAAGAAAATGCCTTTGCATAAACAATAAAACCAATGATGCTCCCAAAAGAGCAAATAAACATTTCACGTTTGCCATTTCTTCACATACTTCCATATTTCATGTACATAATCAGTTTTTTTAATGCATTGTCACAAATACAGAATTAGAATGTGCATCTATTTATTAAATCTTGAAACAATAATGCTTATTTCTAGTGTATATCTGTATGTTTTCATGCTCCTTTGTTGAGTAATAGATAATGGATTATTCTATGAAGATAAGATAATCATACAAAATAATCATACAATAAGAATTAACACATAAATAATTGGATTTCTAAGATATAAAGATAAGATTATTGTGCTATATCAATTTTATTTTCACAACCACTTTTTATCTGGCTAGTATAGAGTGTCAAATATTCATTTGGAAACATTCCATATTGACACAATAAATAATTAATAAAAAAGCAAAAGCTTCCTATTGAACTCACTGAGGATGCTGCGTTTGCACAGCGGGCAGGTGTGGTGCAACAACAGCCAGGGATCAACACAATCTCTGTGGTACTCATGAAGACATGGCAACACCCGCAAACACTGACAACAAGACATGAAATGTGTCAGCAGGTAAAATGTCAGGATGTGTAGTATTCAAACACTAGAAGTTTGCTTTTTTTTCCTTAAGTCATCAGCAGGTAAAAGGAGATGCTGGCGGACCTGGTTGTTGTTGAACGGTTCAAGGCAGACGGCACAGTTGTCCGTCTCTATGGGCTGGGATGGGTCACACCACGGTCTGGGCTGACGATACATTTTGGTTTTCAGCAACGACATTCTCTTCAGAATGTCCTGTTTAGGAAGAAGCTGAAGAACATCACCCAGCAGGATAACATCACCCAGTGTCTCCAGATCAATTAACCTTTTTTAATGTGTTCAGAAATAAAGAAAAAGATCTCTGCATGGTATTAAAACAGCATGTGATTTGCATGTTCAGACATGTATCACTGTGAAATGTCTTTTCAACCAGGGTTTTGTGCACATTTCAAATAATTTGCTGAATTTGAAGATAGGTATCTAAAATGGAGTGTCACATAGGTCTGTTACATGTCGGCGCGAAATTATCATTTTATAATCAGTTTTACAGAAGCAGGTAGTTATAATAGAGAAATGTTGGGTCCAAATGTCTGTTTCCATCTTTGCTCAAGGTCCTGGAGAAAGCAGTAGCCAAACAGCTGTGTGACTATCTACATAGCAATAGCTTGTTTGAGGATTTTCAGTCAGGATTTAGAGCTCACCATAGCACAGAGACCGCACTGGTGAAAATTACTAATGACCTCCTAATGGCATCAGACAAAGGACTCATCTCTGTCTTGGTTTTATTAGATCTTAGTGCTGCTTTTGACACCATTGACCATCAGATCCTACTACAGAGACTGGAACATTTCATCGGAATTAAAGGAGCCGTTCTAAGTTGGTTTAGGTCCTATTTATCAGATCGGTTTCAGTTTGTGCATGTTAACGATGAGTCCTCCATGCATGCCAGAGTTAGCCACGGAGTTCCGCAAGGATCCGTTCTCGGACCAATCCTCTTTACTTTATATATGCTTCCTTTAGGTAATATTATCAGGAAACACTCTATCAACTTTCATTGCTATGCAGATGATACTCAGTTATACCTATCGATCAAGCCAGATGAAACTCATCAGCTAGCTAAGCTTCAAATGTGCCTTCAGGATGTTAAAACCTGGATGACCTGCAATTTTCTAATGTTAAACTCAGCTAAAACTGAAGTTATTGTTCTAGGGCCTAAACACCTTCGTGACGCATTATCTACAGATATAGTTTCCCTGGATGGCATCGCCCTGGCCTCCAGCACCACTGTGAGAAATCTTGGAGTTATCTTCGATCAGGACATGTCGTTTAACTCTCACATTAAGCAAATTTCAAGAACCGCCTTCTTTCACCTTCGTAATATCGCAAAAATTAGGAGCATCCTGTGTAAAAATGATGCAGAAAAACTAGTCCATGCATTTGTTACTTCTAGGCTGGATTACTGCAATTCCTTGTTATCAGGGTCTTCAAAAAAGTCCATTAGGACTCTTCAGCTGATCCAGAATGCTGCAGCACGTGTTCTTACAGGAACCAGAAAAAGAGATCATATTTCTCCTGTCTTGGCTTCTTTGCACTGGCTTCCTGTTAAATCCAGAATAGAATTTAAAATCCTTCTCCTTACGTATAAAGCTCTTCATGGTCAGGCCCCATCTTATCTTAAAGAGCTTTTAGTACCTTACTGCCCTACCAGAGAACTGCGCTCCCAGAATGAAGGGTTACTGGCAGTTCCTAGAGTCTTGAAAACTAGAATGGGCGCTAGAGCGTTCGGCTATCAGAGTCCTCTTTTGTGGAACCAGGTTCCAGTTTGGGTCCGGGAAGCAGACACCGTCTCTATATTTAAGAGTAGGCTTAAGACTTTCCTTTATGATAGAGCTTATAGTTAGAGTAAGTCCACCCCTGGTTGTGCTGCTATAGGCCTAGACTGCCGGGGGATGCATCATGATGCACCGAGCTCCCCTTTCCTTTCTCTCTCTCCCTCCCGGTGCAACCTCATTCCATTAACAATGTTACTAACTGGACTCTCTCCCTTCCCCGTAGTCGTGTGCTTTCTCGTCCCCCTTCTCTCTTCTCTCTCTTCCTAACACTTTCTGCAGATATTCCTGGCTCTGGAGCTGTGGGGTCTGGATCTGTGGTTGGGAGTCTCCTCCTATCACTTCCTGCAGGTGTTCCTAGAGCTGTGGAGTCTGGATCTGTGGTTGGGAGTTTCCTGCTGCCCCCATGTTCCTGCTCATCATTAGCATTAATATCATTGCCATTTTTAATCTATTCTACGTGTTGCTGTGTTGGCTGCCCCTCTCTGCTCCTTCTGTCCTTCTCTCGCCCTCTCTCTCTCTCTTGCTCTCTCTTTCCCCTCACCCCCAACCGGCCGAGGCAGATGGCCGCCCACCCTGAGCCATGGTTCTGCTCAAGGTTTCTGCCTGTTAAAAGGAAGTTTTTCCTTGCCTGTGTCGCCTAGTGCTTGCTCATGGTGGGAATTGTTGGGTTTCTGTAGTTAACTTCAGAGTAGGGTCTGACCTGCTCTGTTTGGAAAGCGCTGTGAGACAACTGTTGTTGTGATGTGGCGCTATATAAATAAAATTGAATTGAATTGAATTGAAAAGAAACAAAACAAATTCTCATGGTGCTTCCAATGGTGTTAATATCATGTCCATCATTAAAAACAAATGAACCTCAGACATTTTATTAAGAGCTGTATTTTCATTCTGCTCAACGTTGAATGAGTCTGGTTTAGCAGAACACGACCAGTAGCACTAGATGATGGTGGAAGCTGAACTGTGATTGAATCAATTACACTTAAAAGTCATACCAAAGCTCTGCTCACACAACTACCTATATTTACAGAATCTTTTATTTTGATTTTTTAAAGATTTTGTTGGCTCTAGTGGCCTTTAATGAGAGTAGCTTGACAGGAAAGTGGGCAGATAGAGAGGACGAGACCTGCGGAATCGAAACACTTATGAGGGGAGGCTCCACACATGGTCCGCCCGCTATAACCGTTAGGCTACGGCCCAGACTCGATTTTTTCATATAAGAAAACATTTCACACTGAACACTTTTATACAGTGTGAGCTTAGTTCCCTTGTCAGGAATCACTGTGCTTCTCAATAAGGAGAGCGCTCTGACTGCCACCTGCTATAGGTGAACAGCTCATCAGTAACTCACTCAAAATACAGGGAACCTCTTGCTAGCTGCCTTAGTTAAAATATATGACAAATGTATTAGAGTAAAACCTTCTTTTTTTTGCCTAAATGAAAAATTAAACAGAACATCAAATAAAAATTAAAGGAGATACTCAAGTAAAGCACAAGTGCTTCAATACAAAAAGACACTCTGTGATGATAGCGGTAGCATAGATTACCTCTGAGTCGTCATTTAGCCGACGGTCTTGGTACTGCCAGCGTGCTTGGACAATGACTCCTGTGCAGAGAATAAGAGCCACCAGGAGGACGGTGTCCCACAGCTGCTGTAGGTACTTCTGCAGACCATCAGAGAGGAGTGGCAAGCCCTTAATGCCTGCTCCATCCCAATCCCATTCACACACTGCTTATCAACCTGAAGTACTGCATTACTGCAGCCTAACTCTTTTACAGCCGAATTTTGATATGTTTTCAGACTAAACTGAATTACCTACGTTGTTCGACTTCATGTCTCACTCTCTGGAGCTCTTGTTAAAGCCTTCTTGTGTCTAACCGGCTGACACAGTTTAGCCCTGCAGATGCCATCAAAGAAGCTGTGCTTCCCCACCTGGACCTGAGAGTTGTTCTCTCCTGTGCAGATGACCCCCTGCCACTCTCCGTAGAGACCCCCTCTCGATCGACCGCAACTGGACCATAGAGTGAGCGTCGCTCCCTGCCCGAACACACAGCAGCATGAGCTCAGTCTGCTTGACCTGTCACCTGTTCACTCACCACTGGAGGGTGCTAATGCCTGAGAAACGCATTCAGCTAACAGATGTGGAGCTCACCAGGTTGTCCTGCAGCATTGTCTCGTATGTGATTTTTGCTGTTGCACGAAGGCCCCTGTGATGTTCAGAACCATTCAAATATTCAGCATTAGAGTGATGATATCAACTCATTAACCAAATTAAATCCAAAGAATAAAACATTTAGACTATGAGCACAAATTGTCGTAGTCTAATTTACTCTGTACAGTCTGTTCTCAGCTTAAATCAATGTTAAGTGCGATAACATAAGGGAGGGATAAAAAACAATCAGCAAAGAGAGGACATGATTACCTAAGAAGATCCATGTGAGTGAAAGCTGAAACCTCAATATAAAGAGGCGTGACTGTCAGAGAGCCAAATAAATGCCATCAAACACAGTTAGGAAAGTAAGTGGAAAGATCACACTTTCCAAAAGAAGCAACTGACAATGAATCACATGATTCTACATCAGTGAGATCTGGGATTTGATATTTTTCATTCTTTTTATATGGCTACGCAGAAAGCTCAAACTAAAAGCAGTTGAGCTATGCAGGCTGTTTGCCTTTGTTCCACTCAGTTTAAAAGCTCTTGTGACTCTTTTTTTGTATATATGTTTTTTTTTTTTACTGTGGTTGGTTTATGTGACCTGCACAAAGCATTGCAATGATGACTTGTGTTTGTATAGTGACATCTAAATCTAAATTAAAGCAGTTTTAAATTTTTCTTTCAGTTAAAATAACTTTTTCAGATAGGAGTCTTTGGTAAAAGGTTCCACATAAAAATGTAACACTACAGTATGGATTTGGCCTCTTATCAGAACGAACGCAGGCGTTTCCTGGGCCCCCTCAAAAGACCACAGACTTAACAGGTGTGCTATCTGTGGTTTTCACCTGTGGGAAAAACACACAGCCAGATAACATCCTGGCTGAGTGGGACATTTAAGGCTGTGAATGAGGAGAGACCAAGAAAAAGAATCTGAAACAACAAAATACCACTTCTGATAAAGTAATGTATTGTATGTGCTTGGGGGGGGTTCTATCCCTCAAGAGCTTCAGAACAGAAGTAACCTAACACAGGAATAATTGGTTTGATAATACTGGCTATAGCTTTGATGTAACAAAGACTTTACTTATTTGCATATTTTCAGTGGAACTTCTTATTCTTTAAATAGAGTGTGACCATGTGGAATATCGACTATTTTGAGGCAATTTGATTGCAATTTTTACAGGCAGGGATATTTTATACCCTTTAAGATGATAAATTGGTTGTTATATCACGGACAGTTAAATTCAAAAGCAGTATTTTGTACCTGATCAGAGCTCCAATAAGTTTGGTGACATTCTCTGATGTCTGGATCACAATAATGGGCTTGGACAGCACCTGAGTCAAATCCATCTACAAAAGAGAGATTTTCAGGGTTTACACGTGTCGTAGACAATGACAATAACAGACCCAGATCTCCAGATTTCTATCACTATATAAAGAAACTCTTATGTTTTGCAATTGTGTTAATAACAAACCTAATGTACTGAAGCAATCAACTTCAGGGGCAACAAAATATCTCAATTAAGGATGAGTTGAACAACAACTGCTGTTATGTTCTGATTTTTTACCTCACTGACAGTGTTTTGGTTGAGAGCCAGAATAATAAGCGCTGAAGCTCCAAGGACCAAGGCTCGTTTCATCTTAAACAGAGACAAAAGACAGTTCTGGGTTTCACAGACACCAATAATCTCACTTAGAAAAGCATAAAAAATGGTTTGACCCATATATGATAATCATCATGGGTTTATCCCGGACATCTGGGCATTTTCTATCACAAAGTATTGCAGGAAAAAAATAGATAAACATTACCAAAAAAAAGACACAGTGGTCTAAATGAATCTAATCTACTTACTTTATTAACCACTGCATCAGCAAAGGACTCCTGGTTCCCTGTAGAGGCTTTACTGTCATCCATCTCCACAGGTACAACCCCAATCCAGGCCTCCTGCTTCTTGGTGCTGTCCTCTTCTTCGCCTTTGCTTAAGCTCATTTTCTCATCTTGAACCTAACAGAAAAATCTTTCTTGGCATCCAAAGTGCAGGTTCTCAACTGCTGTTGACACCTCTCAGTCATTGACAAAAGAAGATAAGCTATTCATACTTATATGAATACTAGCAATTCATACTTCTTTCCTCTTCAACTTTTTCAGGTGAAAATATTATATGATTGGTACAAGTGCACTATCATTGAGTTATTTTCTTTTAATCAAAGCAGTCTTACAGCTGTCCTAGTGCATACTTGAGGGATCCTCCAGGTAAACAATCTATTGACCACCCACCAAAAGAAACTTACATGTTGAGCATAATAAATGACCCTAAAACAAACTCACCAACACGAGGTTCCCCTCCAGCTCATCTTGATCATGATTCCGTGGTTCTGACCTCCAGCTAGCCTCGACCACCTCCCCCTGGAACAGGGCATTGACACCGGGCCGTTGCTCAAGGAAAACCTCCACCAGTGCGACCTGCTCCGCCGCCACCAGCAGCTCGGGCCGCCAAAACAGGAGCAGCGGTATTGTTACTCCGAGACAACACCAGGCAGCGGCACCCATGATGTGGAAAATAATACAGAGAGAAAATAGGAATAAATACGCCAAACTGATCAACGATCACACATTATCGTGGGAAATGCTGCGAGCAACAATTTATGTCTGAATGCTTGCAGCTCGCCGAAAGTAAAATAGACAACTTCCGGTTACGACCGGAAAACATTGAGTGTTTAATGTCTATGGTGTAATTGTGGACACAAGCGGCCACATCTCCAGGAACTGTTCCAAATTAACAGAGTACGAAATGATATTTATCAAAAATCTTTTTGGAACTTAAGTTAATGAATGTATATTTTTGGGGAATAATTAATATTGTACAGTTAACTATTCTCTCCATTAACAAAGGTTGCGGTTAGAAGAGATTTATCGCGCTTTATTTCCTGTTTCGCTTTAAAACACAGGATGGACTGGATTAAGAAATATATAATGCTATGAAAAACTTTGTCAAGAAAAATTCACCCACATTTGTGGGTTTCATTACGTAGTTATTAAAGATTGCCAAGTAAAAATAAAGCAACAAATATCACTACGACAAAATGTACTTTGTGTGCGCAGGTGCAACGCGTTTTTGACAGAGCTGGTGTGATATTCAAAGATGACTCAATACACCCCCCCAAAATGCAGTAAAACAACAATACATATAAACAAAAATAAAACAAAACGTTTTTTGTACAAGGTATGATCCCGTCAACAACAAATCAACAACCTCATTTCTCTCTCAATTACTTGCCAATTAATGAAAGTGGTAATATTTTGTTTTTATAAACTTATTGTTTATTTCACATGTACACATGCAATCACAAACTCAGGAAATTGATGATACATCCCGATAGGCTTGCTTAGTTTTTCATTTTTAAAGTGGATGTACTTGTGAGAAGTTTTTAGCTTAGCGGTATTGTTAAAAGGATTAAAACAAAATGTATTTCATTTTACGTGTAAAATAAATATTAATTTATAATTGTATTGTCATGTAAATTTGTTACCTTTAAAATGATGATAATAATTTCTTATTCCAGCAAGTGTAAACCTATCAATAGGTAACAGGAATTTTCAATGTCATGTTTTGCCATGTCATGTAAGACTTCCAGCGCAATCCAATCATGGGCGGGTCTCGTATTTGGTCAGAGCAGCCCTCTTAGTTTTTCTCATATCTTTGGCCGGACCAGACGGTTGGTTTAGAGCCGCTCTCACTGCTGCGTGTTTACCCTTGTCTACATCTACCGACCGGTTCTCATCTCCGAGCAGCAAACGGTGAGAATTTCAAGATTCTGAGGCCGCGAAGGAGCATCACGGGGCGGTGTCAAAGACAGAGACTCCCCTGTCAAGGCTAACGGTTGCGGTGCTCTTCCTCACACTTTGAAGAAGTGCTGTTGTCTTTATCTCACGGTTTAAATCGGTGACATGAGTGGAAGAGTGGGAGACCTAAGCCCTAAACAGGCCGAGGCACTAGAACAGGTACGTTTATAGTGCTATTAATAACTATTGTTAATAACAGCTGTTTTCGTTAGATTTCACCTATATATTGATATGATATTAATATTAATATTTTCACCTATATATATACTCACGGATACTAGCTTGATTTAATTAACCGTGTGTTCTTGCAACCTCAATAAATGTTACAGTTTGTTTTACATCATCAAACAAGCAATATATCTTAAACCACAGCCTCAAACCTTACATTAACAGGTTTCGGTTCATGTGACTCTGAAGGCAAAGCTGAACCTCAGAACATTTACAAGTAGGAAATAACTGGAAGTCGGGATTAGTCATGCAATAAAAATAATGCTGTTATAATTAAGACAACTAACTCGTAACTGAGCCTGAATTTAAGATAAAATGTAGCATCCAGGGCTACAGGTTTAGTCTCCCAGCCACAGGCTGAGCCCCTGATGAGCCTAATAAGAGATATAGATCTCAGGCTTCTACATGCATCTTCTCAATTTTCAGCTAAACCTGTGGTCAAAAACGCACAATTGATTTGTATTTTTACAAAGATAAAATGCTCAAGAAAATTATACTGCATTTTAGACATACAACGATTTTATATTTTGAACATGACAGATATTTATAAACTTTAGACAACTGTTTTGTTATTTACGGGAAACTTTTCCAGTCAACTAAGTGCCACAATTTCAGCGCTATCCAACACCTTCAAGGTGATGAACCACACCTTTTCCATCCATTGTGCACATTGCTGCGTGTATACAATAGTTATAGCTCCCATTGTATAACTTTGGAAGTCCAAGAAGAATAGAGCAGTGCAATGTAAGTATTCTCCATCTATATTCCCTAAAGCATTTTTTTGTGAAACGCAATTACAAAGCTCCATTGAACCTGGTAAAAAGAGAATTGTATTACTTGTTTTAAAGTCATAAAAGAACATAATGAATAATAATGATGGGGGGAATAAAACCACAAATAGTCATTTTCAAATAAAGAAGGAGAATACTTTATTGATCTCAACATGGAGAAATTCAATACAGCTGGTACCAAGATCAAACAAACAAAACACATAGAGACAACAGTTCGGGAAGACTGTAGGGCAGCCACACAGGGGGGCGCTCCGTTTGCCTTCAGAACAAAAATACATTGGGAAAATGGGGGCGAGAAGAGGGGGGAAAAAAGGCCCAGTGCCACGCCCCCTACAGGGGACGTAACAGTGATTTAAAAAAACACCTCAGAAACAGGTAAATCACAACATCAAGGACACATAGGGAGGGATGGGGGGGTTGGAAGGAAGGGGAAAGGTAACAGCGAGGCAGTGAGTCCAAGGAATGCATGAAGTCTGTACTTGTGTGTGTGTAAGTGTAAGCAAGCTGGAGGTCCACATCCACAGGCTAGATGGAATTTGTCCTTGTGATGCCCATACTCCTGCTTAGGAAGAGGGAGGGGGTGGGGTGGGCAAAGCGTCCATCTGCAGTACCGTCCAGGGCAAAGTTGCAGAGCAGCAGCTGCAAGGCCGCTCTCGGTAGGCCATATTGAGATAAGAGAGAAAGCTTTGTTCCAGACAGAGCGTGTTTTGTCTGCCTTAAGTCCTCAGCAGGTCTCTCAATGGCGATCCAATTCAGTCGAATTGTGTTAGTTTCCCTCCATCCGAACCACCAACTTCTCCAAGGTGTTACCCATCACCTTCATGCTGTCAGACATCGTCCCCATTTTGCACCTATGAGCCTCCTGAATGCTCTATTGAGCCTCCTGTTTGCTCACCAGAGCATAATTTTTTAGTCAGGTTTGAGTCAGAATGTTGATGGACCGGTTTAAAATATTTTTTATTCATTTTAGCTACTCTTAAGTCATAGTCCTTACATTCATTTTAACCTTTGAATCACAGATACCCGAACTCTCAAATGTTTTGAAAGTCATCAAAAAACAATAATGGAGGCCACAAAAAATTGCTTTCACTCTCTACGCTCTCTCTCTTGTCTGTGCTTTTTACTATTCTTTGAGAAAATAAGCAAAGTTAACTGGGCTTGCCTAACGATCTATGATTGAATAAAGAAAATAAATGGAAACATATAGCATTTTCCAAGGCTTTTGTGTTGACTGGAAAAGTTTCCCGTAAATAACAAAACAGTTGTCTAAAGTTTATAAATATCTGTCATGTTCAAAATATAAAATCGTTGTATGTCTAAAATGCAGTATAATTTTCTTGAGCATTTTATCTTTGTAAAAATACAAATCAATTGTGCGTTTTTGACCACAGGTTTAGCTGAAAATTGAGAAGATGCATGTAGAAGCCTGAGATCTATATCTCTTATTAGGCTCATCAGGGGCGGAGCCTGTGGCTGGGAGACTAAACCTGTAGCCCTGGATGCTACATTTTATCTTAAATTCAGGCTCAGTCACGAGTTAGTTGTCTTAATTATAACAGCATTATTTTTATTGCATGACTAATCCCGACTTCCAGTTATTTCCTACTTGTAAATGTTCTGAGGTTCAGCTTTGCCTTCAGAGTCACATGAACCGAAACCTGTTAATGTAAGGTTTGAGGCTGTGGTTTGAGTAAATGGACACAAAAGCCTTGGAAAATGCAATATGTTTCCATTTATTTTCTTTATTCAAGTTCTTTCTCCCATTTTTAGTTCCAGTGCTGAATATATTTATGGGCGACGGAAAGCTGATATTGAAGTGTTTAAAGCAGCTTGAAACAGTGAAAGCGGTTTTGCTTTCCCAATTCTTGAGTTTTGGTTTGATACAACCCTGACAGTCATGTGGTTTCTTCTGTTCTTGTCCTTGATCTGACCATAGTTTCGGGCGAGGATTCAGGATATTCTTCCTCAGCTTCCAGCACAGCATGACCACTTCCTGTTGCGTTGGCTCAGAGGTAAGTTGAAATCAACATGGCACTCTGCTTTTCACTTATCAAATAATACATTTTGTATGGATATGTTTGTTATTATTTCCATAGACAGCATTAATTCTGTGCACTAGAAGGAAGGAGCTGTACAAGTCATAGCACTTTAAGCAGAAGCTGCAGAGGTTTATTACACAAAAGGGTGTGATGCAACATGTGGAAAGAGTGTTTGCAGAAGTTGAGAATGAGATAGAATTTATGTCTAAATCTTATGTTCAACCCACAAATGAAAACCAAGCCCACTTTGAGAAAAAAACTTCTGAGTAAATTCAGTTAATTCCCAGAGTCATTCTACCTTCATTATACTGTAAGTGGAAGGCGAAAACATGCCTCGATCACTTCATCAGCTGAGGTCGAACACATTACGCATAAAACTAATCCAGAGCTAATCGTATTAAAGGTGCACTACGGTGACAGCAGCCTGTCTGCTTCTGTGTTTCTTCTGCACTCCCGGGTTAAGGTTTCCTGGATTGTGGGGAAAGTTGTTTCATACCAGGAACTCAGAGTGTCATTGAGGGCACATTGTTCTCTTAATTAGGCTTTACTAAATGACCATGACAGCTGTTAAAAGGCCTGCTTTGAGCATTACAGCTGAGTGTCACAGCTCCAAACATGAAGATTACAATGAAGATCTTTTAGGGCAATGTCTGCTCCTGGTAAATCTGGTTGTATCACTCTTCCTAGAATTTAAGGATACAATAATCATGTAAGCTTCTTGAAAGACTACTTTATGGATTTAAAGCAAATATCTTAAGAAACTAACAGTTTATTTAATCATCTGGATTAGAAATATGGTAGATTAAATGTTCAACTATGCATAAACCCCACTTCAAATCCCTGTTGTGGCCAGGACACAATGCAAATTCAGTTTGGGTTGGCCAAAAGTGACCTGAGAAGAGTGAGCATTATAATAAGGGCTGAAGATATGATCAGTTTGTCCCAATCAAAAGAGGCAGCCCTGCCTCCTGCCTAGTCAGAGATAAACAGTGTTAGAAACTGATATGTGGTTGCCTTTGTATGTTTAACTGGAGCTGCTCAGTAAAACAAGATTTGGTAACAGTTTCCACTATTGTATGAATCTAAAGTCAACTTTCAATCACAAGATGCTTGTTTTGGGTCACTTGTGATCACATGTGTTTGACTATCTCCCATTTTAAAGTAGAAAATATGGCCCTTTTGACCTCTTATTTGACTTTTAGCATGGATTATTCTCAAAACTGTAGATAAAACTTTAAATAACCCAAATAGAATTGCAATATAGTTGTATCGTGTATGATGTTGTAAACTGGCAATCAATTTTTAGTTTGCCATGAAATTAAGAAAAAATAATAAACACTTTAACTCTGACATGTCTCATCTGAGATCACCTAAATATGAATAGATAAAGAAAATTACAAAAATCAATTAAGATGTGTGATTTGGTGCCTAACACAGGCATAAACTAACAGATGGATAGTGCCGGTCGTCTGTGAGATTCTGCTTCACATTTTTATAAGTTTAAGTCTCTCAGTACTGTAAGGTTCCTAATGTGTCAAGTTGGAACATTAGCCGTAATAATCCACAGTGTGAGGAAGTTGTGAGCCTCATGTCACAGTCACAGCACTGTAGGGCTTTTCAAACAGACTAATGCTTCCTCTAATCAGCTTATAGTAGATAGTATTAGGCAATAGTGTCCACTCTGTTCAGTATCACTCATTGTGTCACAATGGATTTAAAGCAGTTTGTGGTTATAGACAAAAGTTCATACGTTTTACGAGAATTTCGTATTTCTGTTTGTTGTGAGAATCTTATTCATAAAATTTTGTTTCCTAGAATAATAAAGATGTTTTGGAACTTATTTATAACTGAATAATTAACATTCATCAACTTTAATAGCTTAAAGGCTGTTCTAATTCAAAGCTGTTTTCTTCTAGTCTGGTCAAGATCGAGTTGTGTTCAGTCTTCATTGTGGGGCTGCTGTGGGTTGGGTAGCAGATATGTGCCCAACTAGAAAGTCATAACAAAATGGTGACTAAGGCATGGCTTCTATGTCTAAAGTGCAAAAGGGAAGTGGTGTAGTCAGCATTGATAAGAACTGACAAATGCATGTTCTTATCAACATAAGAAAATAGTCTCTATTGAGAGTTGAACAGTTCATTTTTATTGACAGAAGGTGTCCTTGTGAAAACAACAATACTTTCAAAGGTGCCCCAACAGACAAATCATCCTGGATCTGGTGGGAGGATTTTATTAAAATTCTAACATTTTTCTACATCCATCTTCCATCTAGCTCTTACTCATGCAGGAGGTAGATCAGTATCTTTGGCTTTTTGATCCTTTCAAATAATTTAATGATGCACCATTATGTCATCAATTATCACAAATCTTTATGGAATAGATCTCTGATCTATTTATCTATAGTTCTAGTTTCTTGTATCTTAAGTTTAATAATCTTTTATAATCTTTTAATAATCTAGATTGTTAATCTTGTCTTTTTCTTCCCTTAATCAGCCAGAAACTTCAATGTACAGAAGTCTGAAGCCATGCTGCGAAAGGTAACAGGCATAAGTTATTGTTTTGGAGGACTAAGACATTCTTCTAACACCTGCATTTGTAGAAATACAGCACAGTGCTCATCTTGTGATGAGCCAAAGTAAAAACACATTGGCATATCTGTCTTTGATTATCTTTTCAAGAGATGCCCTGCAGTTCTGCATTGTATATCAAAAGGTCGAGAGAGTGTTTTCAGATTATAGAGAAACAATGTGATAAAGGGTCACTGGACAAAATGAGTCACCAGAGCACCTATAGAAGATGAGACACCGGGTAAAAGGATTAAAGAAGTACTTATGACAGACGAAGAGACAGCTGCCTTGTTTCCAGTTTGATATTCTTTATAGATGGCAGAAAACCTAGAACCCACCTGACAGAGAGCTCAAACATAGTTACTGTATGCTTAAATATAAATAAGTAAATTGAATATGTACTGTTTTTCAACAGTTTGTCAAACCACTATTAGCATTGGAAACATTGCATGAAGTACCCTTTAAATGACCAATTTAGCATTAACATAAAACACACTCATGTGCTGTTCGTCTGTTTTTGGTTGTAATTATGTTGACGATGACAGTGTCTTAGAATCTAGACATGACAATGATCGATGTAAGGACCTGACCGAGAATGAAATAGCTAAGAAGTTGATATAGAGGAGAGAGTAATTGATGGAATGAAAAACCACTGAGACAGTACAGTTGCAGGGACTTGAACTGATGAGGGAAGTCCGACGAAAACTGAGGGACATGAATGAAGCTGGTTGAGACCCATTGAAACAGGAAGCAAAGTCAGACACCAAAATAAAAGCACTGGAACTCAAAACCTAATTCACTAAACCTCAAACATAGAACATAAACCTTAGATACACAACTAATGACCCAACTTAAAACAGAGAATATGACATGTATATCACGTACATTACAGTAAAAGTTATCTCCCCCCTCATTATTTAGAATGACCTCATGCTCTGTCTGAAACACTAAGCCAGTTAAAAACAGATGCGTTGGTCCTGGTCAAGTGGAATGTTAAGGAATATATAGTGACTCTACCTTTGAACTTAATGTGAATCCATCTTCTCTTTCAGCATCTGGAGTTCAGAAAACAGATTAAAGTAGATACAATAATCACTGACTGGCGTCCACCAGAGGTAAGTCATTGGAAACTATAGTGAGATAGTGAAGATAGATATAGATAGTGAAGCAGAGGTGTAGTACATTTGAAAATGAAAAACTTTTGCAGGTGATAGAGAAGTATTTGTCTGGTGGGATGTGTGGATACGACCGAGAGGGCAGCCCAATCTGGTATGATGTGATTGGACCAATGGATCCCAAAGGCCTCTTCCTGTCTGCCTCCAAGCAAGATTTCATCAAGTCCAAGATCAAAGACTGTGAGATGCTGCAGAAGGAATGTAACCACCAGTCAGAAAGAGTAAGAGCATTGATTGTTGCTGGTTTACTGTGGATTTACTGGGCATATCTGCTGCTCAGACCTCTTAATTACATGACAGCAGATTTGAAAGCAATGAACCTGCTTTGCAGGGGGAACAATAATGTATCTTTAAAACATTAAAAGCCTTCCAGAAATGCATAGAAAGGAGCAGACAGAAGTAGGATACCTGAGAGACAGTATTACCCTAGTCAGAATTAAATGCTAATTTAAAAAAATAAATAAAAAAATATATATACATATATACAATTTTAATGTTTTTTTTTATTTGATCAATATTCACTGCAAGTTTTTATTAAAGAAAAATTTATTGAAGAAGTTTGAACCATCGGTTGATGTAATGGAACAGGGAAATCTATGTATCAACATGGTTAACAGTAATTTGATCTTTTTTCTGTGTCACTTTTATCACTCAGCTGGGCAGGAATATAGAGTCCATCACTATGATCTATGATGTTGAAGGCCTGGGACTGAAGCACTTATGGAAGCCTGCTATAGAAACATATGGAGAGGTATAGAATCAGACACATTCAGTGAAGATATCACAAAAGTAAGTGAGCTAAATACTTTTCTGGCACCTTCCTCTTTCTGTCTCACCAGATTCTTCAGATGTTTGAAGACAATTACCCAGAAGGCCTGAAGAGGCTGTTCGTCATTAAAGGTAAATTTGACTCACAAGATGAGTTTATGATGGTTTAATGAGGGAATGAAAAGTATTTATCTTTTTTTAGTTAGAAAAAAATGTATTTTAATGAACATTATGAATTCTAAATGAATTGCTCCCACAGCCCCTAAACTCTTTCCTGTGGCCTACAACCTAGTCAAACACTTTCTGAGTGAGAACACACGACAAAAAATATGCATCCTTGGTGGTAAGGCTTTCACACATCACCTCACCCTGTTTAAGAAAATATTCAGTTAGAAAAACATAATAATTTCAGTTTTACTAAAAGGAGGATTGCTGTCACTGCTTTTATAGCTAACTGGCAGGAGGTTTTGCTGAAGTACATCGATGCTGAAGAGCTGCCGGCCATATATGGGGGTAAACTGACCGATCCTGATGGAGATCCTCGCTGTAGAACCAGAGTGAGTCAACACAGTCCTGAATTTAGAGTGTTTTTATATTGTTTGAAAGGGATGGCTGATAAGTTGGAGGAGATGAGTATCCATTACAGACATATGGTCAACACTTTTGGCTTCTGCTACAGAAAGCCCTGGTTCCTTTTCGCTGTGCATTGGCTTGGTGCACCAACAGCGGCAGTTGACAATTCAATCATCCAATCTTACAGCAGAACTGTAAGATTTGAAGCTTAAACTGCAGGCACATCTTTGACATTTCTTGGCAGATTCTGATATTACAGCCTGGTTTTTAGACATTTTGTATTTAGCATTCGTCTCTCATTATCTCATTAATTTATATTTGTAACACGTTAACATAAATATCACTGAGCGCAATATATAAGACTTTGATGAGTGACATATTCTGTGACTGAAAGAATAACATTAACATTGCAGTGTATTATTTATTATTCCTGCCAACTGATGAAACCAGTTAAAAAATGTTGTTTTCCGTTCCGTTCTTACACAATCTTTGGTCAGCTTTTAATATCCAGTCCAAAAATAGGACAAGAAAATGAGCCATTTTAACCACATGCCAAAACCCAATACAGACTTGCATACTTATTTCTTTGCTACCTCTGGAACTTCTTCAAATTTTATTGTGGTTTTATGGTAAGTGGGTTGTGATGGCTGGATCCACTGTTAAAGAGGATTAGTGTGCAAAATGTCAAGTTGATCAAGTTCAACAATCATTACTATTTTAGCTGAATGACCCATATTGATAAAAGTCATGTGTACTGCATAAAACTCAGTATTGCAAACTATTATTTGCTTTGTAAATCTCCCTCCTAATGTTTGGGACAAAGCTTCAAATTAACTTTTGTACATTTCAGTTGTACCAGTAAAAAAAAGAAAAAAGAAAACTGGGTAAAAAAACTGTCATTGGATACGAGTCTGATTCCAACTACAGCAGATCAGCTTTCCTGTAGACTATCGAATTAGATCTGCAGAGCCGGACCAGTGCTACATTAGTTCACAGTATGGCTGCTTTTTGTTTAATAGGTGCAGACATTTAGATATAATCTTTTTAAAAACTTACTTGATCCTTTATCATGTAGTTATTTTGCAACTTGCAGCCCTGCCTACCTCGCTACCTAACACTGTGCATACCTAAAATGTTGTGGGTTTACATTTGACTGGCAAAATATACTTCGTCAGCTCTTTAGAATTACTTTTTTTTTATCAGCCTGGCCAAGCAAGTGGTACAGAAGAGTAATATGTCATCCAAGCAACAAATGCAAACATTGGAGTTTTCAAAATACTGTGTTGCTAAATGTTCTGCTAATGTTGTGGCTGTGTGTAAAGGATGACATTTCACATGAGTGAACCAGTTTGATTAAGCTATATTGATGAATCAGTACTGCTTCACGCACAGTTAACAGCTGGCTCTGTCTTTGAAGTCGCAATTACATAGGAAACAGCTGTAAGGAATTTTCAGAATGGTGAAAATCAATTAAGAAACATACCTTAAACCAACCATATGAGCCACGTGACCATATGAGTCACGTATCTGTCTAGGTCTGGGGTAAGGGTGTATGGGCTATAGCAGCCCACATTTGGTAAGTGATAGATCCCAATTCATCCCCCTCCTGCTGTCCCACCTTGCTGTGCAGTAGCATCAGCTATCAAAGCAACACATTCTGGAAGGAGCTTCTCCTGTAGTCCGGCATCAGCAGGTGATGAAATAACTGACCCTTGTTTGTCACTGTTTCTATAGATAAATAATTGGGCCCAGGACAGCTGAAGAACAGTTGGAGAAAAATTCATTTTGACTGCGTTCAAGATTCTTTCAAGAATTTTGGAATCGAGATGCTCAGCCTCGAAGTTTTTTTTCTTTTCTTTTTCAGAATTCAACTTAATACTTTAGTGAGTTAATTGTGTGACCTTGACATTGCACTAAATTAATTTGGTTTATTTCTTACATAATAGCAGGTCAGTGACAAGCAGATGGCTATATGCAGTTTGGTTGCTGAATCAGAGCGAGGGATGCGAGTCTTAAAAAGTTTGACTAATAGCTAGGAATCATTTTAAATTCTGACATTAAGCGACATTTTAAATATACAATGTACTGTATTTTTAAAACTCTTTTTTCAGTTCACGTAATTGTTAGCTTTGCTTGTACAGGATATAATTAATTATTACGACACCTACAGGATAAAATAAAAATAAAATGAAGTAACTTTGGTGAAACACATCCAAAACTGAAAAGCTGGATTTAGTTCAATTGAACGATTGAACAACTAACCCAACAACACATTGTCCAGAGTCAGATTAATTGTAGTGGGAAAACTTTCAATGAAATGAGATTATATATTTGAGAATGACTGGTTTGTTACATGAAAAGAATGGCAGGTTGGATTTAAGCATGCATCTTAAAGTTGTAGGAGAGTTATCTACGATTTAGCTAAAGCTGGCAAACCCTCAGATATGCTGTGTTGGTGTGTAGGCTTATGACTTTATAATAGTGCTTTGTTTTGTGTCACTGTGTTTACCTACAACATATAATTGGATAGGAATAATTAAAATTAGATGCTGTATTCCATGACTAGAAGGAAAGTGGGACAGTAAAAACGTCAGGTAAGCCAGTAGCCCCTTTCCATTCCTTACACGTCTGATGGATTTAATCAGCAGGAGAAACTGCAGATTTCTGAAGTAGCTTGATTTAAAAATTGATTGAAAACTGAAAATGTTAAGCCTTATTTACCTTGTGAGGTCTTTCTGTTTTCCTTCTTCAGGCAACACAAATTATTAACAAAATGTCTGTGAAAGACACAAAGGTACACTATTTGTCAGGAGCTACTGGATATTTTGATAAACGATACATTTTTTTATGCCTAGATTCTGCCTTTTTTTTTATTCATGGATGATACCAGATAACAGGTAGTATCAGAGATAATTTATGAAGAGTTTCAGTTAGTTGATCAGGGATGAGTTTGTGCTTTAGTAACAAAATTGTGCTGAGAACTCTGTATCGGAACAGTTTCTAAAGCACCTGGGGACAGAAACATAAACCATATGTATACCCTTTCCATGTGTTTTTTCAAACAAATGCAAACTTTCCCGTGTAGTGTGGTGGTTGGCACCATCGTCTCACAGCAAGAGGTTTCAAGTCCCTGGGGGAACCAGGACCTTTCTGTGTGGAGTTAGCATGTTCTCCCTGTGTCTGTGTGGGTTCTCTCCAGGTTCTCCAGCTTCCTCCCACCGTCCAAAAAAGGTTTAGGTATATTGGACATTTCAAATTGCCCTGAGGCTTGAGTGTGCGTGGTTGTTCATCTTTGTGTGTCTATATGTGTTGCCCTGCAATGGATTGGCCCAGGGTATACCATGCCTCTTGCCCATTGAATACTGGGATAGGCTCCAGTCCCTCCGAGACCCCATTAGGGAATAAGTGGTTCAGAAAATGGATGGAAACTTCCATGGCGGATGGAAACTTGTTGAATTGGAAAAGAAAAATGTTAAAAGACCAAAAAAAATAAAGGACTTTAGTTTTTTTACAAGGGTACGTAGCCCTCACACCAAAGGATGGTTGCAGGAGTATGACAACATTGAGAAGATGGTTATTTAGAAATGGTTCAGATTTTTTGTACAAGATTTTTCTCTTACAAACAATTCTATTCACAAAACAACCCTGAGTTTTATGCATCTGACCCCAGAACTTTCTGTTTGATCTTTACACAAATAATATCACACAATGGACTTTCTGGTGTTCTGCCCTCTGCTGTCTGTTATTGACACCAAAACAATTAAACGACTAACACCCAATGAGCTCATTTACATGGACCCAAGCTTAATCTCCACAATTCCTGTCTATTAACTGAACTTTTAATACTTTCAACTGTAAGTAGATGTAAAAAGTAATGCTTTGTAGGTGGATGATTTCTTTAACATGAAGGCGTTTTCCCCCTACATGATCCACACCTGAATGGCAACCATATTTATACATCATGCATTTTAATGCAGGACAATCTTATGTCCTGATTTACACAAAGGGGACATCAAAATACAGTCCTGGAGAGCTCACCTGTAATTTATGATTTGACTATGACGGCGGTCAATAGTCCTCATACAGCTTGGGGAATGGGAATCATTACATGACACCATTCACAGGACAGTTGACATCAGGAAATCCCCTGCTTTCTGTTGGTTCTTTTTATTTAATTGTATTGGAAACTTGCATAATGGTTTTAAATCTGTGTGAATAAACCTAAAAGTGGAAAAAATAGACCAGTTTGCTTTTCATGTGACATAATAAATCTGTTTTGTACTAAAAGTCTAAAGATGACAAGCATTCATAGTTAATTAACAGCACAGTAAGTAACTGTTTTACTTTCCAACTTCTTACACATTTTACACACAAAAGTTTGACGGCTCTGTTTTGATTCTTTGTGTCTGTATTGCAGATAAACCATGTTGGCCCAGTTCCCTCTTCTTATTATGTCCGGGACCATGTTCAGGTGGAATATGAGCGTTGTATCACAGTAAATCGAGGCTCATCTCAGCAGCTGGACTATGATATCTTGTTCCCGGGCTGTGTTCTTAGGTATATGCTTTGACATGCTACTACTGCACTGAAGGGTGGGGAAAACAGATTATCTGTGTGTGTTATGCTTCTCCATATTTTCATTCGCGTATACATTCCTAGGTGTGGATTAGCACTTTTTTATATTTTAACCTCTCTAGCCCAAAGGAAACAGTAAACAGTAGACAGTAAACTGGCTACTGAAATCTTTTTTGCCAATCCAAGGAAACGATTTTGTAAACAGCAAATATTCTTTACTTTTGTATTAAATATGGGCCATCGAGCTATACAAAAGTACAAAAATGTACATGTTTTCTCATACCACAAGAAAAGTGAATTTCTTTGTGCAAATGGTTAAATATTATTAAATATGTAATAGTTAAATTAGGGGAATTCTTCTATCAGTAACTGAAAAGCAAAAGCAATATTATAATATTCTTTTTTCCAGTTATATTTTTTTTAGTTTAGGGTATGGTTTATGTCTTTTAAACGTTTTTTAAAAGGACGCAGATTTCAGGAAAAAAAAATTGATTTAGTGAAAATAAAGTTGGAGATCCTGAATCTCCCTGCAGGAAAAAATACATAACATAAGTTGGTCACAAATTGAATTTGTGACATTATTTCATCCTTCTAGGTGGCAGTTTAGCAGTGAGGGTGCAGATATTGGCTTTGGGGTATTCTTAAAAGCTAAAAAGGGTGAGTGGAAGAAAGCAGCTGAGATGCAGGAAATCATTCCAAGCCAACGCTACAATTCCCACTTAGTGCCTGAAGATGGATCCCTGACCTGTGAGCGTCCAGGAGTCTGTGAGTAAGCTGTCTGATGATCTAAACTCACTGCCGCATGATACCCATGCGTTTTTAAAAAAAAAGTTCCACTCTGTCCAAACAGATGTTCTCAGATTTGACAACACCTACAGCATCTTCCAGGCCAAGCGAATCAGCTTTACTGTTGAGGTCCTGCTTCCTGACCACTTACAGTTCTCACAAACCAACGGGAAGCATGTTGACCATGTGCAGGCAGAGGGCAACAACCAGTTGTAAAACCAGTGACCAGTGATGTGTAGCGACACACAGTGGTAAGCACAGCTTGAAATACTTGACATGGACAGGCACACACAGTATTGATTATGGTGTAAAATTCAGCAGTTGTTTCACCTACATGCTGTCCATTTGTCAACGTTGTTTTGCACATTATGAATTTAAAAAAACATTAGTGCCACAGATCAGATGTGGAAACCCAAGGGTAGCTTTATTATTTTGAATTTATTTTTTATGTAATGTTTATATAGCCAGCACCTCCAAAGTCTTGTTAGATTTGGACCGAACGGTAAATAGAGGATGCCAATGGAATGTAAGAATGACTTTCACATTGGATGTTTTTCTTTGTTAAGAAAAAATATTTTCTTTTTACATGTTCCTTGTCTTGAAAATTAAATGTTATTAAGCACTAAAATCTTAATGCAAATCCATATAAGCCCTGCAGCAGTAACACTTATAGCAAAGACAAAGTCAACATCTTTCTTTGTGATGTAACCACATGGTGTTTCGTCCTCTTTGGGTATGTTCTCATTTTTTGTTCTTTCTTTGGCCTGGACATTTAGCAGAAACATAGATCATGTATGTTTGCATGTTAAACATGTGGAATCCTATCAAATAGGTTTACTTTTATAACTGTTATAGATTCTTTTTTATTGTTTTCATTGTTCATGCTTACTTTGAAGGCTGATCCCGCCTCTCCGGGATATTTAAGCAACAAATATTCACATTTGCCCCCGTGATTATTTTATAAATAATTTCCTGAAAATGATGGATTACATGTGGTTGTTATGACATAAAGCTAGTCAGATTATTTTTAGTAACACGATTTTAGTAAAACTTGCATTTTAATAATGATCAGCAACATTAAACAGTAGTTGTCTGAAGTGAGTGTGACGATAAGTAATTGGAGAGCTTCAGAAACAGAACTTGACATATTCATGTTAACCCTTTGTACATGTATACTCATGTTTAAAGTGTAACTCAGGTCTTTATGAGCTCTTTAGGCGGTGACCAAAACAAAAACCTTATATTTTACTATGAGCTGCTGTCATACTGTTGCACTGAATGGACCTTTAGCACCATACAGATGATGATTTTACACATATTGTAAGAGTTGTTCGAACTTAATGTTGTGAATAAATAAATATTTTGTTCTGTGACCGCTAACTGTACCTTTCATACAATATGGAATGCTGTATAGTGCAATATGGACACGTTTCTGATGATAAATCCTTTAAATTATATAAAAAAAAATCTTATTTTGATCTGGGTTACCCCTCCTTTCTTTCTGTTTTCTTATTTGTAAGGCAGCTCTTCTTTAATCTTAAAGTTCTAAAAGCTTTTTTGATGATCTCTCAAACATTTTCTTTAACATTGGCTACTTTATTTGATGATCTTCTTTTCCATATTACCAACCTTTTTTTTTGCAGGCATATATATCTTTTTTTCTGACCCGTGAATCATAAATGCATAAATAAGACATCTTAAATAAACACATAACAAGACACATTAGCTAATAATCCATTGCAGGTTTTTTTTATTAGTGGTCATGTACACAGACACATAGTTTTCTATCAATTTCTTTAGTTTTATTGATGAAAAATATCAAAGAAAGTCTAACAAAGATAAAATTATATGTTTGCACAAACAAGGGAGGGGTTAACCTTTTCTACAGCTGAATACCAAAGTGTGAAAGTTATGTTTTTTTTTGTTTTTTTTAAAGAGAGAGAGAAGACAAATCCGGCAAAGACCTGATATAGAACACATCTGGACTTTTAGCTGATCCAAGTATCATCAGAAATGGTCTGTATGGAAGAATGGCTGTCAGGAAGCCATTATTCTGAAAAACAGTAAATAAAGCTGAAATTTGCCTGTAGAACTAGTGCTGAGGACCAATTACAGACCAATTACAGAAAATGATTAATAAGACAATTTGCTACAAACTGTCTCTCTACATCACAGGTGTCAAACTCCAGTCCTTGAAGGCCTGCAGGTTTTAGAGGTGTCCCTGTTTCAAACAAACCTGATTCACATCCAAGTGTTATTAGCAAGCCCTTGCAAAGCTCAACAATGTCCATAGGAGAGACAATTTAATCAGAATTAGCTGTGCAGAAGAGAGAAAACGTCTAAAACATGCAGGACAGCGGTTCTCAAGGACCAGAGTTTGACAACCCTGCTCCACATGGACCAATATTTACTTTTGTGGATTTATTTTAAGCTAGTAACACAAATAAAAACAAGATCTGTTGTCTTGATTCTTTAATGTTTTATTTACAACATTTTGTTACAAGTATATTCAACATTTGTCACATTTGAATGATGATACTTTAAATTAATAATTTTCACAGTACATACAAGAAAAAAATATTCTAGCAGACATTGTGTACAGTAATTACATGCTTGAGTCATTGGCATACAATTTTACAAACTTTGTTCTAATCGGAGTGCAAGAGTTCAGCTGTCACTGCAGATGTGGCCATTGTAAAAGAGCCCAAGTTCACACCCTTGTGGCTTACAAATGTCCTTAATTTTGATAAACATCTGTAGTAAAGCAAGATTTAGAAACTGTGTGTTAAATTTGGGCTTTCTACAAATGTCACAGCCGTCGGTAAACAAACTGAAACTCAAGGGAGCTTGTTGAATGTGGCTCGCTGAACACTGCCTTTCCTTGGCACGTATTAAACAAAAAATAACATTGATCAGTTAAAATATTAATCTATAGTTAAACCTGTTATCATCATCCACCAGAGTTTAAATATCTGATTGGTGTTTAAAGTAACTTCAATCAACATGGTTTGTGAGTATACGCAAGGTAAGGCTGTCCATCTTGTTCTCTTGTTCTGTGCACCTTTTAAACAGCGGAAGAACGGAATTCTTACATTTCCCTCCATGGTCCTCCATTAGTTAATCAACAGCTGGTTGGTTTCACTTTGAGCAGGTGAAGTCACAGACAGAGTTCAACAATAAAAACAGAAAAGGTAAGGTAACACGGGCCAGACAGGCATCTGTAGAGTGATCAGTCAGGTATTTTAAAATCATAATGCTCAATTTACACATATTTTGATAATTCAAGTTAGGATTTTGTAATTAATTAATGTTTTAAGTGTCTTAATTTTGTTAGACGGATATTTCTGTTTAAGGTCTTTTCTAAGTTCAAAGATCCCAATCTGAAGTTTGAGCTCTTGAAATCGTACAGTCACAGGTAATTCAAGATTTGCAGTACTAACAACAAATATAAGAGACATACTAGGACCATAGGTGTTAGTTTGAAGCATTAGAATGTGGTTTGAATATCATTTGTGATATTCGAGAGGGATTATAGGCCTCCCTGATCCCAATAGTCCAAGAAAATGGGATTTTTGTCACTATCTCACCCTCATACCATACTTACTCTTCATTAACAAACCACGTTGCGGGCCGCAGCCGCAGCCGTAGCCTAATGGCTAGAGCGGGCGGCCCATGTGCAGAGCCTCTGCTCGTAAGCGGGTGTCCTGGGTTCGAATCCGGCCCACGGCCGTTTCCCGGAGGTCTCCCCCTCTCTATCTCTGCCCCCTTTCCTGTCAACCTACTGTCATTAAAGGCCACTAGAGCCAAAAAATCTTTAAAAAAAAAAAAAACCACATAGCAGCAATCATGATTATCTGTTCAGCTACAATTATTTGTAACACTAATGTCCTCTTAGAATACCAGAAGACCCAAACCCAGTAATTCCTTAAATATTGATTTAATAGATTTATTAATATAAATATTCTGTCTGTAGACTAAAATATTCCTTTAAAATTATTAAAGTTCGATTACATACCTACCATTTACACAATCAAATTATCCCCCAGAGGATTTGTGTCTGTGTCTAGTATGGATGAAGATGTCATTTCACAGCTATGGCAATATACTGACAATCACTGCTCATCTGCCCTCCTCCACAGGACGAGTTTCAGATTTAAGTTTGACAAATTCCTTGGCCACTTCGTCAGCAGGCCGCTGGGACAAGATACGCATGACTGTAGTGCCTGTCTCATCAGTGTGAATGCGTGGCCCAAGAGGACACCAGCACACACAGCTCTTCCGGTCTGCCACATCTCGCAGCTGAACCACGGCCATGCCAACCACCCGGTCAGCTCTTCCAAAGCAGTAATCCTTCACCGTCACGTGGAGCTCATAGCAGTCTGGGGATTCTTTGCCCATGATGCTACAAATCAGAGGAGCAAGTTAATAATGATCATCTAATTTAATTAATCAACACCATCTATGGATACTTTAGACTTAAAACTCACAACTGGAAGGCCTCGTTGAACTTGGCTGTCCAGCTGTTGTTCTTAGATTTAGTAGTGAACTTGCGCTTCTTGTCCGCTAAGCAAGGGCCGACCATCGAGACCTCAACAAAAGGCCGAAACATGCCTGATGTCTGCCATTTCATGTCATTCACTGCAATCACTGCATGGAGATGTGAAAGATGGAGACCAGATGAGAGGTAAGATGGTTGGCATATTGAAAGGTGATGGCAAGCGGTGATATTTTAATCAATGACTCAAACAAATTACTATTTTATCATTTATTTATTATTATTTATTTGTTGTTTGGAGTCACCTTTAAATCTCTGTTCAAGACATTAATTCCTACTAATTCATATCACTAAATTCCTGTGAAGGTGGCAGTTAATATGTTCTGTGATAAATCTAAGTGAATTATAGAACATCCATAACAGTAAAGTAAGGCAAAAAAATGTCCTTTTCAAGAGCTCCATTCAAAAGTATAAAAATACTTCTCTAAAGACTTCAATATATAAATGACATAGATGTTTGGTTCAATATGTGCTTAATAGAAAGATTCAGTGCCATTTCAGTTTAGACTCGTGTCTCACCCCTGACATTGACTTTACGTTCCTTCCCAAGCATCATGTCAATCTGCAGCAAAGCCTCTCCGATCGGCTTCTCCACCCCTGAACCTGTTATGACACAGCCAACATATTACCATATTCCAACTTTCTCCCCTTGAGTTCTTATCTCGGTCATATATTTGCTTCAGGCATCCATGTGTCTATCATCCAATTTGGTTCCCCTTAAATTAATGTTATACAGTGATCATTTTCTTATCAGCACAATTAAAAAGATTTGTCATAATGTTGGAAGAATTCATGAATATTAGAAAATGGATGGACATATAGGTTAAATTTGGAGTGTAGTAAACATACCTCTATCAGGTCTGATCTTATCATTACCAGTGATCCTGATACCCATTCCATCATGCACTGAGAGTACAGCAAAGAAAACAAAGGATCAAAATACATTTTTAGTCAACTGAACAACATCAGCAGCATCCAACAACAAGAAGAAAACATGTTGTACAGGGAGTATATTTGTGTATGTTCAGGATAACCTTGGGAATGTTGTGTGGTGACGAAAGTCTTGATGAGTGCATCGGTACTCTGGGAGTATAGGGAGAGGGCGTAGCGCAGAGAAGCGAGCTCAGGGCTTTTCTCAACATATGCCTTCTTAAGGCCATTTCCGCCTGCATGGAAGTAGTGCTGAAAGAAAGTGAAAGAGATAAAGGATTGGCTTGAAACAACACATTAAAAGGTTACAGAGTAGACCGACTATATACACACGCACATCAGAAGAGATTAAATTAATTTCATTGAATCTTGATCAGAGCAGTCTTTATGTCCCTTCCTACCTTGATGGTCTCCAGCCCTGCATCAATGATGACACACTGTTTGGGTGTCAGGGTTTTGGCTTCTCCTCCTCCCTGCAAAATTGACAAATAATAGACCAAGTTGCACTCAGAACAAAGAACTGCAAACAATGCAGAGCTCTGCTGGCTGTTTTTGTGTTTGCCTCTGAATACGCTTAAAATATGCAGACACCCTACATAACTTACTTATTAATTTAACTTTTTTATCATCAAAGTAATCTTAATATTATTCTGTCAACAAATAATGGCGAAGTGCATAAAAGTAACCAGACTATACAAAGATTTATTTATTGCACATCTAGATTCAGTTTATTGAATCTCCCAGCGTTACACATCCTCCCACTTGTTGCATTACCAACATTTACACCACTATTCTAAAGACTGCTACAAAGGCTTAGAAATCGTAAAATGTAAACGATTTTTCTCTAAGAGCATTTTGTTTCTGGCCAATTTGACCTTTGCTTAAATCTGAGTTGTTGTTAGAATTATGAGCTCTTAAGGTTATGCTCGGTACAGGCATGCTTATTTTGCTGCAGTTGGCATTAGGATGAAAAGTGAGCTGAACACAGGTCTTATGTATTTTCCCCCAAAACAAACACCTATGATTAGGGGTGCTGCTTTACCTTTAGACTGGAGAGTCCTTTAGCTGCAGTGAGGAGTTGGGCTCCCTGAAAAGAGAAAGAGTAAAGGTGATTTGACTGTGTATCAAATTTTCATTCAAATGCCGTAAATCAAGCAGTTGTCAGATGTCTGTTGTAACACACACACATGCACACACACACACAAACAAAAAAAATTCCAATCAAACATCTTGACTTAAACATTAAATGTCTCATCGAAATATAACCAAACTCATACCACATCTACTTGTTCTCTTCCATGATGTTAAGTCCAAAGGCTATAAAACAGCTAGTAATTCTTGTTCTTACTTTAAACCTTGCACAAGGTCAGTTCCCAAATGACCAAACAATGTTAACCAATAAAGATTGTTAACGGAATATTTGTGAGTCTTGATTTGATTAATGCTGATCAATTTTAACATTAAAATTAAGTAGAAAGTACAACACAGATAGTTAGTGTTCACTGACCACTGACTAAATAAAGCTAAAATACTTAAATCAAGGTAGAATTAGATTACAGTTGGTTTACTGCCTTTGGTGACAAATTGAGTTACTCCCCAATTTGTCACAAATGGATACAATCAATCAGTGATAAACCACATCAATAAATACAAATAAATTAGTAAATAGTAAGAATAATTCCACCACAAGAGGGCAGCAGAGTGTTGCCTCTGGGTCTGAGATACTGCTTTAAAATAATATGTAATGGGTACCACGCTGGACTCTGAAGCCAGGAATGTGAGTTCAAGTCTTGGTAGAACATACTGTTGACAGCCCTCTGTCAATGAAATTGTACTACTTGTACTTAAAGTGTCTTTTTTGAAAAAAAAATAAACACTGAAAATTCTGCACAAAAACCTTTTGCAACATTTTGGATATTGACAGTTATCAGATTTTAAGGATGGTTCCCTTTAGGTTTTAAATAGACTTGATCCTTTTCCCTTCATGGATTTTTAAAGAAAACAAGTAATAGTAAACACAAGAACATTGACCACAGGAGACTGTTACCAACAAAGGGGAAGGAATAAATGTGGCCAAATGGTGATGTCATTGCAGTCATTGAACACACTGCCAGCTCCCATCAGGAACGTTAAAAACATTAAAAAATACCGGCTAAAAACTAACCATACACTTAAATGAAATTTTATTTATATAGTGCCACATCACAACAGTTATCTCGCAGCGCTTTCCAAACAAAGCAGGTCAGACCCTACTCTGAAGTTAATTACAGAAGCCCAACAATTCCCACCATGAGCAAGCACTAGGCGACACAGGCAAGGAAAAACTTCCTTTTAACAGGCAGAAACCTGGAGCAGAACCATGGCTCAGGGTGGGCGGCCATCTGCCTAGGCCGGTTGGGGGTGAGGGAAAGAGAGGGCAAGAGAGAGAGGGCAAGAGAAGGACAGAGGGAGTAGAGAGAGGCACATCTCGGTCATCATGGACTTTGTGAATTGGTGTTCGAAAAACCATCTGTGTCTGAACACCAATAAGACCAAAGAGATGGTGATCGACTTTAGGAGAAGACCACCACTCCACCCCCCAGTGAACATCCAGGGGCAGGACATAGAAACTGTACAAAGTTTCAAATACCTGGGTGTTCACGTGAACAACAAACTGGACTGGACTCACAACACCGACGCCCTGTATAAAAAGGGCCAGAGCCGCCTTCACCTCCTGAGGAGGCTGAGGGCCTTTGGAGTCAGCAGGCCCCTCCTTCAGAGCTTTTACGACTCTATAGTGGCCTCAGCCCTCCTCTACGCTGTCGTCTGCTGGGCCCCTGGCAGCACAGAGCGGGACAGGAAGAGGCTGAATAAGCTGGTGAGGAAGGCCACTTCTGTCCTGGGCTGCCCTCTGGACTCAGTGGAGGAAGTGGCTGAGAGGAGAGTGTTGTCCAAACTAAGATCCATCATGGACAACACCTCTCACCCCTTGCATCGGACTGTAGAGGAGCTGAGCAGCTCTTTTAGTAAAAGACTCAGACACCCTGTGTGCAAAAAAGAGCGATACCGCAGGTCTTTCATCCCTGCTGCTACCAGACTGTACAACTCTGCACTTTAACAACTGCTGTGCAATTGTGTTATATTTATTGACCTGTGTAATATGTGTACTGTGTGTGAGTTTTATTTTTTATTTATTTATTTTTTTTTTTCCATCAATGATTGTATATATTTTAATCACCCAAATCTCTATGCTGTGTTGCTTCCTTGTATATTTGCTTGCTTTTGCTGTACTTTATGCACCTTTTCCTCTTTTTGAATTTTAACCGATGTGTGACCAGTGAATTTCTCCACTGTGAGATCAATAAAGCTCTTATCTTATCTTATCTTATCTTATCTTATCTTATCTTATTTATTGGATGAAAAATGGCAATGATATTGATACTAATGATAATGATAGGAGTTATGACAGCAATAAGACTATGCAGAGTAGTAGCAGAGTAGGAACACGGGGACAGCAGGAAACTCCCAATCACAGATCCAGCTTCCACAGCTCTAGGAACACCTGCAGGAAGTGATAGGAGGAGACTATACACATACTCAGAGGTAGATTATTTTGTCAATTTTCTCTGTTACATGCCTGCTAAACTGTTTGGGTGTTTGTGTTCCCTGTCTCTTCACGGGTTCAGTGCGCAGGCTGGTGCCAATTTGCCCCAATTGACTTGTGGGCTGAGGAAACCAATTAGGAATCCACACAGCTCTACAAAGGCTTGTCACCTGTAGGGCTAAGGGGTGCTCCACCTAGCTGGCTGTCTGATGCACGCGGTGCACTTTATCTTTTTTTTTAGTTTTGTGGTGGGACTTCATGGGCTAGTTAAGCTTGGGGTACCTGGTACATTCCCATCACATAGCTGGCTTTGTTATGCACATTAGGTAAGTAGGTCAGTGCCAACCATGTAATTTTTTGAGCTTCTTTGTTAGATCAGAATAGCTGGGTTTTTTCTATCCCTTTATTTTCTTAGTTTAGATGACAGTTGGGCACCATTTTGTTTTATTGATTTCTTTGATTTCCTAACCGCCCTATTCTCCCCCACAGGTTGTTCAACCTTTCTTGGGATTTCTTTATAGAAGAGAAAAATAAATCCTATTATATTGCATTTACAAGGACTCTGACATTGTATTGTGGTTGTCCTGTGTTTTCTCCCTGCCTTAGGGTGTACTAACTCCATAAATGTAAATAAAAAATCTAAAAGATTCCAACATTCATATACAAAGATTCACCTTCAGTGTGTAGTCTGTTATATTGAAAGAAACTGGATTGAAATGCCTTTGACAAACTACTGGCAACAAGTTTCCAAACGGACAATTAAATAATAGTGCATTTTTAAGTTTTATCTAAGATGATACTCGAACGTATTAAAAGGACACATAAGACAAAACTTAGAGATTAAGTTGAACTGATTCATACGTTTGTGATGGACTGGTGACCTATGGATGAATGATTCATAGGTCAGTGTGAAGAGACTTAAGAACTTAATTATGCCTTTGAAATGTTCAGATACAACTACTGAGCTGAACACTTGTGAATAATCAGTCACTGCCTAAAAAAAAAAATCTTTGAGTTACTTAAAAACTGAAAAACACACATAAAGTACTTAGAACATTGACAAGGTTGAAAAGATGTTATGTAGGCATGGACAATCTATTTGTTTCTAACAATTTTAGAAGCAATTTCCTCCTTTGAATAAAATGTACATTTTATTTAAAGGAGGAAAGTTGTCAGATATTTGAATGAAACTCTTGTTCTTCAACACCTATACATTTCCCTTTCTGTACTTATTCTCATTACCAATTTACATGCAGTGAAAATGAAGACATCTCCCTGAGAAAGAATGGAAGTATGTTGGGTGCATTTTGGATAGTAAGGATAATGAAAAGCATGTTTGGATGCTGGGCTCTGGGCCTGTTACAACAATTGATTTTGTATTTCTCCGGAACAATGAGTCCAAATTATTGGAGTTCTTTGACATAGTTTTAATTTGGGATTATTTGGTTTATATTGAGGTGGGGAGGTAATTCTGATGGTGAGGGTTATGGTTTCTCTTACCAGGCTTTCGTTACTCTGAGGCAGGACGATGTTCTTCTCTAGGCTGTTCAGGACGATCTTCCACAAATCTTTCAATATCCTCTTGAGCACAGTTTTCTCACAGGTGTCAGCGAAGATGCTCAGACTGGATTATAAATGAACATACGAAAAATTAAGGGTTTAAAATGCATTTGGACCAAATTTGATGCAAAGGTCAGCTGTAGAAGATTTCTGAGTTGGAGACCATGACTGTTCTAAAGTCCTCCAACTAAGAACTCTGTTAACCATGAGTCAACCCACTTCCCATCCAAGAATTCCATGAGGGGTCTAAGCATGTTGTCAGCATCTGCCTCTGCAGTATTGTGGTTGGGAGGGCCTTTCATCTGGTAGAGGATCTCAGCCATCTGACGCATGCAGCCATTTATACGATTCAGGAAACTGAAAGGAGTAAAGAGGAGACTGACAAAAACTCCTAAAGGCTGAATGAGGCTTTGTTCCTCTCACTTTAGTGGATACAGTGTGGTTGTGTTGTTGATCAGGTTTTAGGTTAAATCTCCGGACAAATGTGGAGGGACAAATTTGTTACCTCTTGGCAAACATAGCGCTGAAGTTGTCCAAGACAGTATTGAGCTTCACTTGTAGATCATTGAGGATGTCTGCTGCCTCGATGTCCATCTACAACACAAATTGACAAAAAGGAGGAGCATTAACAACTGGTCAAATTAGCTACTTTTAGAATCAGAGCTATAGACAAAACGGTAATCTGCAGTGGTGCATCATGTACTTCTGAGACCAGATTATTTCTTTGGTCAGGTTTTTGATGGTTTCCCTTTGTCAAAGTCCGTCTCACCTGATCTCATATCGGCCTTTTCTCAAATCATATGACAAAAAAATTTCTTGTTGAGGTGTTGTATACATAAGGATCCTTACAGGTTATTGAACAGTGTTTAGATGCCCATATAAATTATATTTAGATAATTATGTTTACTGCAAATACTGACACAATTTCCAAAGTTCTCATATTTTTATCAGTGTTTGTTTAGATCTTAAGTTGTCAACCTTGTCTACATGTAGAGAATTCAGGTCACCCTTTTAGTATTTAAATGTTTACTTTCAAATATGTAACTGTATAAATATATAATAGTTAATCTGTCCTCCATACTGACGCACATCTTTGGCACAATAGGTCTGTGTTCAAATTATACAAAAATAATCCATTATAGAAGTTGTATTTCTGTGAGTAAAAAATGTCCATGATTAAAATGAAAAACCTCAACAGTTTTACGTCAGTGCATGCTTTGATATTTGGATGTTTTTTGAAACTGCAAAATATTGCATTGTATCCAATACAGACTATAGGAAGTGTTTTCTAATAATTTTTTTTTTTTCGGCACAAAACTCTTTGACACATGGAAAGAAATTTGTACATGGAGAACATAGTTTTGGGGGGATTTAAAACACTTAAGAGTTTTTGGTGTGAAAAATGAGCTTCAAAGAGCAAGTTACTTCTTCCAACAGTAAGTATGATTAGTTATCATATGAAGTGGAAAACCTTTCTAGCAGGAGCCTCTTATGAATTAAAATCTATAAGATATAAATCACATTTTTTAGCTGAAAGTTGGCTGTTTATTTTAGATAGTGAAAGTACAGATAAAGTTGTTGTAGTGAGCAACTTAAACAATAATATACATGGGAAGTCTAAATCTTATCTTCAATTCTACTCTAAAGTCAATTGTATAGTCTCAAAATGTACACAGACTAGTTCAATATTAAAGCCCTTGATATTGTGCTTATATATATGACATTGAGACTTAACAATTAACTAAAATCTGACTATTTTTTAGTTCACAAATAGTATAGAAAACATCTCTCAGAAAATAAAATAAATCATTTCTATTATATATTTTTCCACAATCCTGTGCAAAAACAACAAAGGATAGCAGCAAAAATTTTACTCCAATAAAATGTTTTTATACAACTCTAAAAATTAAGGCAATCAATCAAAGAAGCTGGCATTTTTATTTAATTTGACCCTCTAAGCTTTACAGCAGACTGTAAGAAAACTGTAACAAAAATGGTGCTCCACTAATTAAAAAGATTCTAACTTTGGTTGAAGAGTTCAAGTTTAATATTATAAGAAAACACATCACAAACCATGAGCTATTTATCATTTATTATGATGGAGACAGAAGATAAATCTCAGGTTTCTATTCAGCACTTTGGCTAGGCTGACCAAGGGGTTATTCTCTGTAAAAGCAAATATAGCTTTAACTGTCAGTGGTGATAATTTTGCAGATTCATCCACCATTATAGTTCTTTCTTTCAAAAGAAAATGGATGGAATCTGTCTAACCATTCCACTTTCAGTGTTATTATGCTTGTTTTCCCTTAGTTTTAAGTCTAGTATCAATTTTACTAATTTGGCACTTATTAAATTGACTTTGTTTATATTATGATTGTAAAACAAAACATTTGACTTCTCTATTTTTTAATTTGATATTCTGAAACTGAATTAAGTTTTATTGAACAAGGACATTTTTCAAATTAACTTCAACCTTGCTTTGGGTGATAATTTTTGCCCTACAGGTAGCACGAGTTTTTCTTAATATGCCTTTAAACCTGGCAGTTAGATGTATAGAGAATTCTGACCCAGATTTCACACAAGGAAAACCTCTCCAAAATTGGGCTTTTTTAAAGAAAAACTTTATATCTAAAATACCTGAGACCCTCTATATATAACTAAGGGAAAGTATAATATAATTCTTAATGACAATATTTAGGCATACAATACAGAGCAGGTGGAGACATTTGATAGCATTTTCTTTAAGGAAATGCACTCAGAAGATAAAGTAAACCTTTTAAAGCTAAATGTCAAAATATGTCATATTTGCTTAGCAATTTACGTTATTATTTAAAATATGTTTAGCACTGTAATATTAGTTATATATGCAGGTGAAGTTGAACGTAAAATAATTAAACTTCACTATCTTCTTCAAATGTTATAGGAGAAATGTGATTGGCAATAAAAAAAGGAAAATTTGTTAAAAAGTCATCTCTAAAGCCAGTGTTAGGTAAATCCATTATGGTACAAGAGATAAAAAGTTTGTGTAAAACATGGTGGAAGAATATGGGTGTGGCAAAATAAGAAGTCACATTTCTGATGTGAAGTGATGGAGTAATTAAATTATTCTCAACATCTAACACAATGCCTGAATTGTATTAAAAAGCAAGCTTTGTTCTTCAATATAATATATGTAGTAATAATGTACTTTTTCAGGAGTCAGGTTTTCCTCCATGACTGTAGCAGCAATATGCATCTTTCTGTTGATCACTCAGCCTGCAGTATTAAGTGGCCTCAAGAAGCATCGTATCAGACTGTCAATTAACCCGTAAAATATTGCCTTAAGGATATTCATTAGAGTTCAGAAGCTCACCCATTCCCCACATTTTATGCCAGTCGAATCCATGGAGCGCTGCAAGATGAGGCATCCCAAAGAGTGTTGAAATGAAAGTATGCCATGAATAACTGTGTTATTATCTAGAAAACACCTGGAACGCTGTTACCATAAAATTGAACCAAATGGGGGCTGTGACTTTTAAGTTACAACATTTTAAGACCTTGCATTTTACATGAAAAATGCTGTGGTGAGTGAAAGTGACCGTTGCTCAGCTTTGTTTCTGCAAACCTGAACTGTTGAGCACAGTAAAATGTAATTATTTGCTTGTGTGGCTAAATGTATACATAATTCTATGGTGTTGTTTATAAAAATTGTCCCACTGAAGTGCTCATTGGATACACAGACTTGCCAGAGATTTTGGAAGGAGCTTCGATTTGAAGAAGAAATCAATAATTGTTTTTACAAAGGTGAGTTCAGGCATTATTACCATGGCACGGTGAGCCTTTTCTGACCCCACTGAAAAACTGCATCCATTGTGTTGTTTATTTGAATTTTCTTAAATACATTCAAATTCATGAAGATCAACAGTAAAACTTTTACAACCAATAAAAACACATTTATTACTTTTTTGTATCATGCTGATAAGCAGATCAACATCTTAAGAAAGAGATTTGCCATGGTTAAATCCCTTTTTATCTCCCTGTCAAAATGAAGACGGTGTATATACAGCTTCGGTCAAAATAACTTCTCCCAGATGCACACTTCTATTGTTGCAGTTTCACACATTACCCATTTGGTTGTCTTAAAAAATATTAGTAACTGATATACTGAGACTGGTGGCGTGGTGGTTAGCACTATTGCCTCAGAGCATGAGGGTTCTGGGTTTAAGTCCCTGGGGGAACCAGGACCTTTCTGTGTCGAGTTTGCATGTTCAAAAAGTGTGTGGTTGTTTATCTTTCTGTGTGTCTCTGTGTAACCCTGTGATGGACTGGTAGACCATCCAGGGTGTACCCTGCCTCTCACCCGTTGACTATCCAGTCCCCCCCATGACCAGAAAATGGATGGAAAATACTCAGGCAGTACTCATATTTAATGGAATATATATTTTTAGAAAACATATTTTCCTGTCAAAAATCTGTCATTTAGATCTTTAGGTCCAAGAGAGATTCTTGACTTTCCAAGTTAACCTCCAATCTTAGAAGGAAGTAAAGGTATCTGTACAATTTCAGACACAAATGCAACTATAATCCCACCCTGCAAATTCAGTTTCTTCTACAGCTAAATGAAAAAACAAAACAACAACTCTCTTATCTCCCACAACAACGCAACTGTACCTTCTTTGTGACAGCAGCAGTAACTTCAGTCTTCCCGGAAAGACAGAAAGGAAAAACAAGAAAACACACAGTAAAAAGAAGAGTACACTGATGACGGACCAAAAAACAAAGATTAAAGCAAAAATCCACACAGACAGGGTAGTGCATTTTTTGCCAGAAATGATTTCTGGAGGGTTTTTATGTTATTGTTTTATAAATTGGGTCATGACTTTGTAGTTTTTAATGAAATATTTTTGTTTGTCCTCACTTTAGTAAGACAGTAAAAGACTAAACTAATCTTCAGAATGATTTGACACTTACCTGGTAGTCAGATGTTCAGAATGAATGTCTATGCTTTCTAAAAGCTAATGTACAAACCCTCAAAGTGTAAAGCATTGTTTAATCTGTTGGGTAATTCTTTAATTACCCAATATGCAATATGGGCAATATGCAATATGACAAAAGCCTTTTTAATGCATCACTTTGTTAGGTGTTACTTCAAACGAGTTATCCAGGTATTAGCGTGGAATAAAAAATTTAGCATATAGCATTTAGCATATAATGAGACTTTATATTGTTTTACACTTAGGTGTCACTGAGATCATCTGGCAGCTACAACAGGGTAAGGTGAATTTTACTTTTACTACACTAGCCCAATTTATCTAAAGCAATCACAAACAAACACAAACACACGCCTTTTTATATTGATCAGTTTGAACCAAATAAATTAAGTTGAAGAACGTTACAAGCAGCGGCGGCACGATGGTGTGGTGGTGAGCACCATCGTCTTGACAGCAAAAGGGTTCTGGGTTCGAGTCCCTCAGGAAAACAGGACCTCTCTTTGTGTGTGTTTACATGTTCTCCCTGTGTCTGTGTGGGTTCTCTCCTTAGGAGTGAGTGTGAGTACGCCTGGTTGTTTGTCTTACGTTTGGTGAAAATGGATGCATGTTACAAGCAATGACTCAAGAAAAAACGATTCTAATAAAATGTACTTTTTCCTCAGCCTTTTAAAAAAAAAGCTTAAGGCCCACTTTTTTAAATTAGCATTTAATTCCGACTAGGGTCTCTTAGGTTTCCTCTTTCTGTCTGCTCCTTTCTATGCAATTCTGGAAGGCTTTTAATGCCCTGCAGCGCTGCACCACTACAGCATTTTTAGTTGTTTCTGTATGTTTTGAATGTTTTTTTGTATTGTTTTATGGCTTTGTTGTAAAGCACTTTGAGTACCATTTGGGTATTGTAAAGGGCTATACAAATAAACTTGATTGATTGATTGATTGATATTCAAAACCTTCAAAGTGTGAACATAACAATGGCCAATGAAACTCGGGCGTTGTTGAACATCAGGATAAATAAAAAACCCAGAGATCTACCGGCTCTAAGTTGAACCTCAGTAAATATATCTACAGAGGAAAAAAGGGAGATGAAAGTACTGAACAAACACACCTTGTTCACTTCTTCTTTTGACTGCAAAGAACAAGCCAAAAACAAATAATATATCAAAACCTGGCATGCTTTTCATCTTTCAAAATATGCTTTCTGTTGAAAGCTCTGTTCTTTTTTTGGAAAATGGGAATGATTCTGTGGAATACATAGTTTTGTATACACAGAAAATAACAATGCCAATGTGAGTCTGTTTATAAATCATAATGGTACGGTATTAGACTTGGTTTATATTCACATATTTTTAAAGACTGTTATTTAGATTAAAACATAATGTCACTGTTTTCTATGTGTTTTTTGCTGTTGAATAATTTACATACTATGTATTGACCAAAATTGATGTTCAATGAAAACAAACTAGCCACACATTAGCATCATTTGAAGGTGTAATTGTGGTTTGAGCAGCTGCCACACACTAATCTTAACCAAAGGCACTCAAAACAGTCACTTTGGCTGATAAGTTTTACTGATCAGGAGTTTCGGTGTATTTTCTGTTTTCCTTACATATCCTTACATGCAGGTAGCCAACCCCTCTGAGACACATTACGAAGAACCCTAATGTTCTCCTCTCAGATCTATGTCTCATCTCTGATGTCAAACATGCTTCAAGTACCTTCAACCTGAAAAGCTTGTGTCATAGAGAAGCCATCAGTAAAATCTTATTTGGTGCTAATGTTAGTACAACTGATTAGAGTAGAATACAATAGCCTCTTCTACTTATTTACTGAAGGTGCTTCCAATATCTAGCCTCTGTATTTCAGGGTATTATCAAGAAAAGATAAACAGCTATAAAAAGCATTTTGTTTCCTCTTAACCTTACAGACCCAATTTTCTTTTTCCTGGTAGATATAATGATTTCAAAAGAGAGGATGGTCTGTTTCTCAAGTACGCACCTCTTTACTCTTAGCCTCCTCCTTTAGCAAAAAAAAAAAAAAAGTTCATTAAAAAAACATTGATTGAAGTTAATTCAAAGTTATTATGTGATCATCAATGTATCAAGGCAGTCAATGCAAAAAGACTAATCTGTATAAATTTAATAGAAATATAAATAATTAAAGAGAAACTTATGGGAAGAGAGATCAAAAAACAAAACCAACCTGCTTCTCTTTGTCTGTCTTTTCAGCCTGTAATAACATACATTTGTGAATTTGTGAAGCTAGCACTTGCATCCCAGACACACATTAATGTACAGCAATAACTTGAGACTTCATTAACAATAATAATAACTTCATTTGTTCCAGCACACTTGTTATGTTCAATGTCCCCTGGTTAAACTTTCATAGGTTTTCGTATTCTCAGTATCATCTTTACAACATCCTCCTCTGAAGAACCAACAAGTTGAAAACCAGTCTTTGAAAGGGAACCAACTGTATCTCTATCAGTATCATGCAAAGTCAAACATAGGAGGATTTTCAGGAATTTGTCAAATGAAAACATAAGTGTGAATTTTCAACATCTGAATTATCAGAATCACTAACACTATTCGTTCAGGTTGCCAACACCTAAGTGACATTTTAATTTCTATAACTCTGAGGAGTCTGGCCTTTCAAACACCAAATAATTTTATTAACTGCTTGCTCCCTCTGCGCACAGAGATGTTGAATGTGTCAATGGCTGGAAGAAAAAACAGCAGACTCTTGGGCCTTATTGATATGAAACGCCTAAATGTGTCTTGTCAACTGTGCAGTTAAAACCAGAACAAGGTCTGACCACCAACAGCTATTGATGAGTTAAAGCTGATTTCATGGCATCAGAGATTAAAGCAAAACATGCTCTCAACTGAGTCACAGGGCTGTTTCTCTGTAAGATTTGAGAGCATCTGAAGAGCAGTAACTTCAGAGACGTCACATTTGTACAGCCAGTTTTCTTTGCCCCCGGGGGCATGTTGTTAGTAATTCTCACTATGATCATGGAGAAAGATAGAAGCTCCTGCAAACTCATATTAACCTAATTTATCTGCAGAAACACTGGACCACTTCATTTGAATTATTCAACAAAAACAGAAATTTGTCTTTTCTTGGTAAAATCTGCAATAACTGCCTGCTAGAAAGATTTACAACAGTTGAATGTTTATTTATCCAGGAGGAGTGTGGAACTGGGAGTCATGTTGCTGTTTCTAAAAAAAAACAAAAAAACACAGCCACCCACAAGTACACTGTTTACGTAAATGTCACTGAGTAAAATAACACACCTTTTCCTTTTTGGCTTCAGACTGGAATGATGTGAAAATAGGAAAAAGAAAAAGAGAAAAATGTATAAATGTAACCTAAATAAAAAGAAACACAACATTGTGGGATGGAATGTGAAACAATTCATTTTAAAGCTTACCTTTTCCTTGTCAAGCTTTTGGACAAAGAAAAATAAGAAAAGGTATAATTTAAAAGAAATCTGAATTGGACAAAATGTAAGGGGCACGATACAAAGTGAGACAAACACAAGATTATATATGAATAGAGTGCAAATTACAGCCTATTCATCTATCAAATCTTTCAAACACACAGAAATGCAACGTAACTGGAGGATTTGATCAACCACAAGTGATGATTTAACTTAGTGCTGAGATGTCCATGAGCAGGAGAGAAGTGGTTAGTGATGGAGGTAATGGAATGACAAACATAATCTGAAATCACCAAACCTTCTCCTGCTCCTCCTCACTGTCATCATAAGCTGAGGAGTCATCCTACAGGAGGACACATGGTAAACAGGTGCTTACAGCCCAACATTTGGACCAACTAAAACTTCCAATAAAGGCCACAAAGAAGAGTTGAAACTGGTCGAGGATATAACTCTGAGAGGAACTAAAGGCAGTTAGAAAACAGGCGATTCCTGCTAGCCTTAGTTCCCTTAATGTTTCTGCCAGGCACCTTTTATTTTCAGAAGAGAACACTTTTGTTCTCTGAAGCCAAGAGTAGTTAGAAAGATCTCAGTTTTTTAGCTCATATTTAAACTACTACATTAATATTCTTCTCAGATTAATAGCATCCAGTAACCACATTCCGCTGAAGCAATTTTTTGAGTGCTGCAAGATGAATAAAGAATATCTGACGGCTGACAGATCAATTTACTGCCTAAATAATTGTAGATTAAAAAAGATTGTCTTATTCACTGAAGCTGTAATGGAGTTTACCTACCTGATGATTCCTAGGAGATCAAATTGTACTTTAAAATCGAGCAAGATAAACTGCTATGGTGGCACCCCACAAGAAGATGGCACCTTAGATATCAGCCTATATTTCCTATATGAGGGGCCCAGCAACGTCGTAGAACATGTGGGTTCAGGACTTTCAACACTGTTTCTTCTGACTCAAAATGCACATACATTTACTTTGCAGGTGAATACTGATTACAGATTAGCACTGCAGCTATTTTTTTTACTTCTTTAAATATATCTGTGTGTTCCGGTTTGTTAGTTGCAGAAGCTTTGAGACCTTGGACTACCTAATACAGCACAACACACACAAAACACGATGACTATAGTAAAATCCATCAACACCAAAGATTGCTCAGCTTGACCAACCAACCTTTCTCTCCTTTTCTTTGTTGTCAACCTATAAAAAAGGTCAGGGGCAGTTAGGGCAGGATAGATTGGAGAGGAAAGGACGGGAGGAGCAGGAAAGCATTATCAGCACTGCGACAGAAAATATATTTTTTTGCGTGCAGAGGCTCTTAAATTTTATATATTCTTTTTCTTATTCACAGGCAATAAATGACCCATGTGACAGCCCAAGGGGGAAAAATGTTTATTTTATCAGACCTCAAAAGTATCATTGTACCACTTAAAAGTCACAGCTCAACTTACTCTAAAGCCTTATTACTAACCTCAGAAGCCCTGCATATTATGAAATCCTTTCCCAAGTCTTGTCTTTCCACAAATATGTACTGTGTTTTGGTACTAGTTTTTTCACCAAAGACAAATTAACATGCTGGACACACATATAGTGTCAGAGACACAATAGTTATTCTCCACTAGATGTTATAAGTAGCAAGCATAAAGATGTCCCTTTACAGTTTAAATTTCCAAGAAATATGTTGCTTCACATCAGCTTATCTCGATCATTAATCAGCTCATCTAAAAGTCCAAACACCAAACATATCTGTCCTCGCCCACTGGCCCCAACCCCACAGACCATCTCACGGTCAGCTGACAACTGAACCATTGCCAGAAATCATTTAGACGCCATTAAATAGACCAATTTTACACACCATCACATTCAATTATATAACAGACAACCATCTAGTCTGTTACACTCTAAAGGGGAAAAGAGCTGCAAACGTGAAGAGTTTTACCAGCATGGTACCAAAGTCTTTGCTGATTTTCTGGTATTATGTCTATATGGATTTATGAGCTGGCAAATGAGATTTCATTTCAGCAGTTGGCTGATTCATATTCTAAAGTCAAAGTTAATGTTATAGATCCCAAAAACATATTTGCCAAAACAAATCCTAAATAAGTTACAAAAGCAGTCACAAAAGCTGTAAAATGAGAATTTAGGTTTCAATTCATTCCTATGAATTAAATTGTAATCAATAATACAAATATCCTTTTGATTTGAATGTTATCCATAGATTATACAATATATTAAATAATCTCTAATCTCTTGCAGAAACTTTTCCTGAGCTAAATACCAAAAAAGTTTAAAAAACAAAAACAACTAACAGTCGATAGTTATACACAAAAAAGTCTCTAGAATCTTTAATACTTGTTGATAGAAGAGTAGTGATACTCTAAAAAATATTTAAGATTCGAGGAATACAGCATGTATTCACAAAAAATGCTCATTTCTTACCTCAGATCCCTCTGAGTCTGAGCACCCAGACTGGCATTTAAAACAATAAGGAAAAAAACGTCAAATGAGACAAAATAATATGAGAATGCTGACAGCAGCAGTGAGCTAAATGCCTTATCTCACCTTGGAATCCTCTGACTGGGGGCAATAAAGATCAAATCCAAAAAACCAAACAAAGGTGGTTAAGACAAGGTAAATCATTTCAGCTAAAATTATGAGCTTTTTTGTGCTGATGCAGACTACCCACCATATTATCCCCCGCTTCATTGTCAGATATAGCCTGGTGTATGGGAAAATCATAAAAAATGTGCCATTATTATAAAAAGAAAAACAATGCAGAAAGTAACTTCAAACAGGTCTTACTGAGGAAATTTATAATTTAAAGTGTTTTGCTTCAGGACTTGGTTACAATCAAGGAAAAAAGGAAATACAGAAATGCAGACCAGTAAAAAAAAAAAAAGCCTTTCCTTAGGAGCTACAGTTAGCTTTAAAGGTAACTGACTGTCATCACCCATCAAGTGCCTTTCACTTTACTAAAAAAAACCTAAGAAGCATTAAAAGCGTAGAGGTAGAGTTATGGTGTAAGACCCAGGTTTCAAAGAGGTTTATAGTTAGCTGGATGATGAAATGTTTTAAACTTCCCCTTTAATTCCTTGCAACCATGAATTTCTTTTAATTTTCCAGAAGCTTTCATAATTTTTTAATTAGTCATTAATTTCATGTGTATCTGTCTTTAAGGCAATAAAGTTATTGAGCAAAAGATCAGGGGTCGGGTTCACATACAGTATTTGAAGATATTCTGACAGAGTTTTAATTGTGTTGTCCTGTTGCTTTTTCATGTTGTATTTGTTGTTAAAATTATGTCTTAAGTATGTCTTAAAATAAAAGAAATGAAAAGTTAATCACACATTCAATAACAATGCCACACAGACATAACAAAACTATTTTTCAGTCACAGGTAAGAATAAGTCTCATTTTGAGATGGTATTGGTCTATTGAGATGACTATCTTTGCAACTGGAGTAAAAAAAAAAGATGGAGAAATGCTAATTACAAATCTAACAAATTATTTTAATATGGGGTGTCTGCACACTTTTCTTTTTTTTGTACCGCATTTGTTATGAACAATCATATAGATTAAGATCTTTACCAGTACATAAGAATTCTTTTTTTTATTATTATTATCAATATTATTATGGTTGCTGCCGTTATTATTATCATAATTTTCCAAGACTAAATCTTCATGTTTGAGGCTGAAACAGAAAAGCATATCCACCCACCTCCTCATCACACTCCTCAGGTTCTTCCTCATTCTCAAGCTTTTGGGGAAAAGCAACATCGGATATAAATTACAATAATTTGCTGGAAGGGGTAACTGGTTGTCAGGGGGGAGAAAGACGTCTAATGGAGCTGTAGCTTATAAGTAAGTTAGAATAAGAATGAAATACAAACACAGACTACGGGTACTAAAAAGCTTGGTGACTGATGCAAGGGTGTTTGAAGTTTTTGTTTTTTCTCTTTTCTATTAAACATCACTGATAGGGGAAGAGGGAGGTAGGACAAAAGAAATTTTTCACCAGACATACCCTTTCTTCTTCAGCAGTTAACTGTAGAGGACAAAAACACTTTAGCTCTTTTTTTTTTAAATAGTCATTCATATTGTAAAATTCCCTTCTTTGTTTCAGCTTGTTGCACTTTTTTCCAACTTTTCCTTCCAGCAGGGGTAGCTGGCCTTAACAAAAATATCAATTATTCCACCAATGACTGTGGAAGACCCTTCTCCCTTATTTTAGATTTGTAAATGAAGCAAAGTATGTACAAGTGTCAGTGATTTATTCCCATGTTACACATTTATAGAAGGTTAACCACAAAATTGATTCATCCTTAGAGTTTGTAATTTTTAATGTTCTCAAAACACTACTGTCAGAAGTTAAGCAAAAAGAGAAAATAGCGTCCTTGATACATATGAATTTAAATTCTCTAACCTTTTTGAACCCTCACACATATACAATTGTTCCACTACAGTAACTAGGTCACAATAGAGGATTCTGAGCTTTACCCAAATAGTCAGATCCTAACCTTGAGGAACAGAAAATGGTGGAGGCTAAAAAAGTTTTTGGGCATTAACGAACATTGCACTTTGTTTATCTACCGTTATTTTTAAACTTCTGCCTTTCATTTTCTTTTCAAAAGAGAAGCATTTTGCAGAGATATTTGTATCAAAGCATTGTGCAATTCATGATCACAGTCCATACAGATTTTATTTTTGTGTTCTAATTCTTGGTTAAGACCGTTTAGAAAGAAAGAGTTTTTTCTCAGTACAAAACATTTGCTGTTCAATCTTCTTTTGAGTCTTACTCATTCCTATGCCACTGCTTGTTACTCCCTACCAGTTTCGCAAGAGATTTAAACTGGAAATCCATGTGGGGATACCTTGTAAAAAATCTCATACTTAACAAATATACACACAACCCAATATTGCTGTTTTTGAAGTCTTACCTGTTTTGCTCCCATAGATTCAAACATCTTCTCCAAAAGGACTCTCATCTGTTGGATGTTGTTCATCAGCACACAGGGCTGGAAAATGACAGAGTGCATGCAAGTTGACCAGAAAAAAACATGACAGAGTAGAGATTAAGGAGGACGACAGAAGTTTACAGGAGGAGATAAAATATGAAACCTCTAAACAGACAAGTCTGGTCCCCACTGTGCAAAGCACAGATGAGCCCAGAAGGATGGGGTTTGGTAAAATATTGGCAATGTTGCAGTACTCACTATCTTCTCTTTCTCACAGTAGGCTGGAAAGCTCTTGGCCAGCAGCGCACAATACTGGAGCAGCACTTTGGTGATTGTCTGTAGAAACAAGATAACAGGCACCTAGTTCATGTGTGCTCTGGAAACAGCTGGACTTGTAACAGTGAATGCAGGTGAAAATATCAACAGTATGCTACATGAAAAGCTTTTTCATGCAGTCTTTTAAGATATATTTTCTATAGAAGTCTATACAGGCATATTACAACTAAACCCTACCAATGATATGGAGTTTGAATATACATTTGCAGATTGCAATCTCAGACCATGCACCGGTTTTACTCTGCGTAAGAAAATGATCACAAACTCAGAAAAGCTGTAGGGGGTGGCTGAATGTATCAATACTTAAGGACAAATCAACTGATTGAAGAGGAAATTCAACGTTTTAAGGAATAAAATAAAATGGGTGATACATCTCTTGGGATGCACTGAAAGCCTATTTAGGAGGGAGAATAATATCTTTTGCAGCTTTAAAAAAAAAAAAAAATCGAATAAAAAAGTCACTTCTCTAGAAGCAGAGCTAAAAGTTCTTGAGTCACTACACTCCCTAACTAAGAGCAGGACCACTTTAAATAAAAATGTGAGTGTGAAATATAACTTAAATGCCTTATATACCAAAAAGGCTGAGTACGCCTTATTCCGAACTAAACAGGCATCCTGGGAAATGGGTGAAAAGCCAGGCCGCCTTTTAGCTTACCGTCTAAAACAGCTTAACAGTATGAACTACATTCCAGAAGTTAGACAATTAGATGGCACTGTCAAAATGTCATCCCAACAGAAAAATGATAGATTCAGAACTTTTAACACTAATTTATACTCTTCCCAAGGTAAATTAGAAGATCACAAATTTGAAACATTTCTTCCAGATCTCAACCTCCCTCGACTCACAGAACAGGATCAGGAAAACTTAGAGGCTCCGTTAAAAACACAGGAGATATCTCGGGGCATTAAAAGCATGCCACTGAACAAGGCACCTGGTTTAAATGGTATTCCCTTGGACCTCTACCAATCATTTGAAGATATTTCAAGCCTTTCAAAATGGCTCTCTACCACATCAATGCACTATGCACCATTTTATTAGATTGTATTGAAGATTTCACATCATTGTCTGAATACAAAGTGAATTGGGATAAGTCTGAAGTTATGCCCATGAGTGGACACTGCCCCTCCTCTCTATACAAAAATTGGAGATTCCGGTGGTCTCTCAAAAGTATTAAATGTTTGGGCATACAGATCACTTCTATCTATAAAAATATGGTTCTATTTCATCCCTACTGACCGCCAGAGGCGGTGCTTCAAGCACTGAATGATCATTCTTGCGCATGCGCAGGTCGAGTACTAATGACAACAACGTCACACCTGTGACCTGCCGGGGACCCACGTGACTCTATATAGTCACGTGGCAACCGGCAATCAATCCCTTTGTTCTTCTCGCGCGCAGGTTTGTTGAGAACAGGTGTGTGGTCGTGTGAAGCTGGTTGCTTCTGTGTGTACCACTTATTTCCTGGCGGTTTGTCGCTGGTAGCCCCGTGACCGGGTTTGGTCGGAGCTGCGGGTAAGTCTCGCCCTCCAGGGGCTGCACAAGCTGCTTTGCCTTACCGGATCTGCGGTGGCCGCGGAGACTGGTAAGTGTTTATTCTTTTCTCAGCAGTGGTTTACTGTTCGCTTTGATTTGCCACTTTTGTGGCTCTTTTTGACTCGCAGTAGCGTTTCTGCTCGCGCTGAGTTGTTTTTCAGTTTGTTTATCTAGACTCGCCGATAGCGTCTCTGCTCGCGCTGAGTTGTCTTCAGTTTGTTTATCTGGACTCGCCGATAGCGTCTCTGCTCGCGCTGAGTTGTTACCTGCACTCGCCAGTAGCGTTTCTGCTCGCGTGGAGTTCTTCTATAGTTTGTTTGCCTACACTCACCAGTAGCGTTTTCTGCTCGCGTTGGGTTCTTCTACAGCTCGTTTATCTGCACTCACCAGTGGCGTTTTCTGCTCGTGCTGAGTCCGTTTTACTTTGCTGTTGTTTATCTGACTCACCAGTGGCGTCTCTGCTCGGGCTGAGTCCATTTTTACTTTGCCGTTGTTTATCTGACTCACCAGTGGCGTCTCTGCTCGGGTTGAGTTCATCTTTGGTTGATTATCGATTTGCTAGTGGCGTTTCTGCTCATGCTGAGTTGGGAACCTCCTACGGGGGTTTTTCTACAACGGAGTCGCCGGTAGCGTTTTCTGCTCGTGTTGACTTCTTGTTGGTGGCGGGCTACTCACGCCTTTCAGCAGTATGATGCTGGATAATTTATGCTGCTCGACCTGTCTGGCTCCACTTCAGCCCGACGACGGGCATGACTTGTGTCCCTCCTGCCTCGGTGTGGAACATCTCCGGGAGGCGCTGTCAGATAACGCTTGCCCCAACTGTTGCGTCATGCCCCGGTCAGTCAGACTGGATCGTTTGGCTGCGCTGGAGCAGCCTACCGACTGGGCGGGCGCTGCGCCGCGGACTCATTTGCCGATGGGAAAGGCGAGGTGCAAACGGTCTACTGTGGCTGCACGTTCGGTACCGCCGAAGCGGGCCGGACGGACCGATGCAGGGAGGTTGTCCACGAGAGTGGATCATCTCACTACTGAGCTGGCCCAAATGAAAGCCCTCCTTCAGTCCTTTCAGACTGCTGATGATCGCGGCGCGGCTCTCCCTCCCGAGCAAGACGTAATGTCAGTCAATGACGATGATGCTGTTTCTGTGGCGGCCTCTGGCACCCATTTCTGTGCGGACCTGCCGGAGCTGGGCTCCGGGGCCTCTGGGTCGGACTCCATTGCCTCCCAGGAGGATAGGGCTGAATCTGTGACATCCGCTATTCGAACGGCTCTTGCCCGTTTACAGATTGGTGTTCCTCAGGCCCAGCCTACGGCTTCCAGCGCCTTCTTTAAGCGCAGTAGGTCAGAGACTGCCTTTATGGTTCCTCCCTCGGCGGAGTATGTGCAGGAACTCCATGCTTGCTGGTCAGACACCAAGGCGCTTTCACGTCTGACGACGGATGGCAGGGTCCTGGCAGCTATGCAGGAGGCACCCAAGGTTGGCTTGGGGCAGATGCCAGCGGTGGAACCGGGCATTGCCTCTCTTATTATCCCACCCGATGAGGCTTTGCGGCCCAATGCCCGTTGTCCGCGTCCTCAGTGCCGTATTACTGATGACCTTCTCTGCAAGGCCTATGACTCTGGGGCCCGCATGGGCCGGATTGGGAACTCTCTATCCCATCTTATGCTGGCCCTGTCTTCCTCCTTGGAATCTGTTCCACTGGATCATGCCACGCAAGGCCTGGTTGATGCATCTCTGCAGGCCTTTGCTCTTATGACGAGGGAACTTGGACGCACACTGTCCACACTGGTTCACGCTCGCCGCCAGGTCTGGCTGGCGCAGTCACCGCTTACTGAGCCTTGTAGGAGGACCCTCCGGGCCCTGCCTGCGGTTCCGGGGGAACTTTTTGGTTCTGCGGCACTGGAAGCCTTGGACCGTACAGCTCAGGCTTCTAGGACGAGGCGACAGCTGGCAGGGCTTCACAGACGTGATCGCCAGCCAGCCAGCACCTGGGCGGCTGCGGGTCCTTCACGGAGGTCCTCAGGGCCTTCTCCTTCTTCCACTGAGCCCCAGGGGCTGGTACCAGGTCAGAGATCGGTCCGGGGACCTGCTCCAGATCGGAGAAACAGAGCTCGAGACCAAGCTGGGACGAGGTCCTTTCATCCCTTTCGAGCCGCGCAGTCTGGCCGGCGTCCTCCCGGGCCTTCGAAGGGCCGGGGGGCCCGCAGGTGATGCCTTAGGGCCGGCGGTCGGTTATTTTTCCCCGGGACGGCTCAGCTTCTGGGCTGCCCACACCCCGGACTTGTGGGTGTTGTCCACCCTGTCCCGGGGGTACCGTCTTCAATTCCGCCGCCGGCCACCTATCCCTGGCCGGGTCAGGATGACTGTGATCCGCGACCCGGTGAAGGCACAGGCACTGAACCAAGAAATCTGCACCTTGCTGGCCAAGGGTGCTATAGTGCCTGTGGACCCCCTGCTGGATCCAGGGGGCTTTTATTCCATGTATTTTCTGGTTCCGAAGAAGACCGGGGGCCTGCGTCCAGTCTTGGACCTCAGGGGCCTGAATGTGTACTTGAAGGTCATGCCCTTTCATATGCTGACCACCAAGGAAGTGTTGCAGGCGATTTCCCCAGGCGATTGGTTCACTTCCATAGATCTCAGGGATGCTTATTTTCACGTCCCAATCGCTCCGCCCCATTGGCGGTTTCTTCGTTTTGCTTTTCAAGGGAGGCATTTCCAGTTCAGGGTCCTCCCGTTCGGACTTTCACTGTCTCCCAGGGTGTTCACCCGATGTGTTGCAGCGGCCCTCTCTCCTCTGCAGGCACAAGGATTAAGGATCCTCCCGTATCTGGACGACTGGCTCATTTGTGCCGCGACGCGGGACCAGGCGGTTCGGGATACTCAGTTAGTGCTCCATCATGTGGGATGCTTGGGCTTGCAGGTGAACATGGAGAAGAGCAGTCTGACCCCCTCACAGGAGACTGTCTTCCTGGGCATTGCCATGGATTCCATCTCGATGACTGCTTGCCCGTCACCCCAGCGGGTGGACAGTATATTGGGCATGCTCCCGGAATTCAGCCGTGGCATGGCACCGCCTCTTGTGCGGTACCTTCGACTTTTGGGCATGCTTACAGCGGCGTCTGCCGTAGTGCCCTTGGGGCTGCTGTCATTGCGGCCCCTCCAAATGTGGTTGAACAGCTTGAATCTGGATCCCGCACGGAACACTCATCGTCTCCGCAGACTTCGGGTGGGGCCTCAGTGTCTTCAGTCTCTGTCCCAATGGAGGGTGAGGTTGTTTATGACCACAGGGGTCCCGCTCGGTTCCCTCCCGTGTCGTCGGGAAGTTGTGTTTACGGATGCATCCTCCACGGGCTGGGGTGCGACCTGGCGGGGTCAAATGGCACAGGGGACGTGGTCCCAGCGGCAGAGCAGGGAACACATCAATGTCCTGGAGTTACAGGCTGTATTTCTGGCTCTTCAGAGCTTTCTCCCAGGCTTGCAGGGGAGGCATGTGCTGGTGAGGTCAGACAACACCGCAGTGGTTTTTCACATCAACCACCAGGGGGGAACCAGGTCAAGGAAACTGTTGTGCTTGACTCGACGGCTTCTGACCTGGGCAGCTCCATGCATGGCCAGCCTCAGGGCAGCCTACATCCCAGGGCCGGAGAACGTGCCAGCAGATTTTCTATCCCGTCAGAAGCCGCTCCCAGGGGAGTGGAAGCTTCACCAGGAGGTAGTGGGCCGCATCTGGAAGGTCTTTGGCGAGGCGGCCGTGGACCTCTTTGCCTCAAGGGACGCGTTTCACTGTCCCCTGTGGTTCTCATTGGACAACACCAGCCCTCTGGGCCGCGATGCCCTGGCACACGACTGGCCCCGGACCCTCCTTTATGCCTTTCCGCCATTCAGCCTCCTTTTTCAGACTCTCCTCAGGGTGCGTCAGGAGAGGCACAGGGTTCTGCTGGTGGCCCCCTACTGGCCAGCGAGGACTTGGTTTCCTCTACTGTGCGAGCTCAGCTCCGGCTCGCCAATGCGTCTCCCCTCCAGGAGAGATCTTCTTTCCCAGGTGGGGGGTCAGATTCTGCACCCCGAACCGGACCGGCTCCAGCTCTGGGTTTGGCCCCTGCAAGGCCGGGGTCCACCTTCTCAAGGTACTCTGGGTCCATAGGGCATACGATGGCTAATGCATGGGCCCCGTCCACGCGAGCTGTCTATGCTAACAAGTGGAAGGTCTTCGCGACCTGGTGCCGTGATAGAGGGCAGGACCCGGTGCAGTGTTCAGTTTCTGACATACTGGCCTTCCTGCAGGCATTGCTGGATCAAGGACGGTCTCCATCTACCTTAAAGGTGTATGTGGCTGCCATTTCCTGTTGGCATGTTGGGCTGAATGGTTTTTCTGTGGGCCGAGACAAAGATGTTGTCCTGTTTTTAAGGGGTGCTCGGCGTTTGCACCCACCCAACCGCCCTGTGGCACCGGCATGGGACCTTTCTCTTGTGCTTGAGGCTCTTCGGTCCCTCCCATTTGAGCCCCTGGCATCGGCAGACCTCAAATGGCTCTCACTAAAGACGGCGTTCCTTTTAGCTATGGTTTCTGCGAAACGTGTGGGGGAATTGCAGGCTCTCTCGATAGCCGAGCCCTGCTGCCGGTGGAATCCTGATGGCTCGGGGGTTACGCTGTGGTCTGACGTAGCGTTTATTCCTAAGGTGTCACCGGCGGCTGGCAGTACCCAGCCGCTCCATCTTGCTCGGCTTGACACCGGAAGCCCCTCTGAACCACTGTGTCCTGTTCGTGCCCTTGAGACATATATCAATGCCACGGCATCCTTCCGAAAGACGAATAGTCTCTTTGTTTGCTACGCTGGCTCACGGAAAGGTCAGGCACTTTCCAAGCAGCGACTTGCACACTGGGTGGTGGATGTGATCTCCAAGGCTTATGCCTCGCAGGACCGGCCACTGCCGGCAGGAGTGAAGTGCCACTCTACAAGGGGCATGTCGACGTCGTTTGCTGCCATGACTGGGGTGCCATTGGATGTTATATGCCGTGCGGCCTCCTGGAAGTCACCTAGTACCTTTACTCGGTTCTACAGGGTGAATGTGGCTGCGCCCCATCCGCTTCAAGGAATTTTGGAGCAGCATGCCTCTACATCACATTAGGTGGGTGGTGTAGTCGCGGTTCCTTGTTGCTGATTCCTCGTGACCTTGTTGATATGAGTCATCCAGTGCTTGAAGCACCGCCTCTGGCGGTCAGTAGGGATGAAATAGAACGAGAGTTACTACCGTAACTACGGTTCTATGAATCCCGGATGACCGCCAGAGTGCTTGGTCCCTCGGAATCTCTGCTTTCGCGAGAAGTTTGAGGGATTGATTGCCGGTTGCCACGTGACTATATAGAGTCACGTGGGTCCCCGGCAGGTCACAGGTGTGACGTTGTTGTCATTAGTACTCGACCTGCGCATGCGCAAGAATGATCATTCAGTGCTTGAAGCACCGCCTCTGGCGGTCATCCGGGATTCATAGAACCGTAGTTACGGTAGTAACTCTCGTTAAAATGAATACAGGT